AAGAATTGAAAATCGTTGAATCTATAGTGTGGTCTGCACAAAACTGTAAAAAATACTTGAATATCTTTAAAAAATGCTCGCGACGAGGAGCATAAAATACTTCGTTGCACTACAGTTTTTATTCCCTCAGTTTTTTCTCTCGATTTAATTTTATTTCTCCAGTCGGGAATAAACGATTCACTGTAAAGACGCCGGGATACTATATTCCCTTGAGGCGAATACAGACCTTCTCTTTGATTCCTGGAAATTCAATGGTACACATTCGTGCTGAAGACGACCTACAATAATGGTACAGTTCAAGGTGCCACCCGGAATTCAACGGAAAATCAATGGAAACCTTGGACAATTTAGATGTTGGAGAAAATTGCTGATACGATTTTTTTTTCTTGGAAATCAAGACAATATGGGAGTAATAAATTTTTTTAGCACTGCTGGATGGTACGAGTCGACGGATTTTTTATCGCTGCATTGAGTTGCATTTCTTTTGTAGGAGTTCGCGATATGAGATTTCAATCGTATCGAATTTCTGGGGATTTATGCTGGAGTGGAGATGGAAACCGCGATTACGCGATTCTTAATGGTTTCGTTATTGTTGATTTCTCACAGGAATTAGTGGTTTTAGGAGAAAATGTCAGAAGAGCTTTTTTGTAGCTCAGAAAATTTACAAGAAATAGTACTTATTGACATTTTTTCCTAAACTCCGTCGTTATCGAGATAATTCAATGTTAAGCAAGAGGTGAAGGTCTGACTTCCATTTATTTTTCGCTGTTATTAGAAAATCGATATCTTTATTGTCATCAGTTAGGAAAGGATGGAATTCGTGTTTTATGATTGTTTATTCATCTCGGAGGGGTTTTTTGGAGTAATTTTGTCCAATAAATAATTTCTTTTGACTTTTTCTTGCAAAATTACTCATTTTTCTCTTCAAATCACTGGTTATTGATATAATTCAATAGTCAGCATGAGGTGAAGAATATAGATTCGATTAATTCTTCACTGTAATTTCAGAAATTTGTATATTCAGAAAGAAAAAATGAAAAAGTTTCGAATGAAACAGTAATTTATTTTTATAATTGTTTGATTATACCGAAAACGACTGATTTTAGAAGAAAATATCAAAAAATCATTTTTCTTCCTGAGAAAATTCCCAACAAAAAATTTTTTTTGACATTTTCCCCTAAAATCACTCTATATCGAGATAATTTCATATTCAACGAAGGTGATTAATTTAACTTTCATTTATCCTTCACTGCCGTTTGAAAATTAATATCCTCGCCATGATAAGATTGAAAAAAAATATGCTTCATGACTTGTAATTTTCGATTCAGCTCGAAAGCACGTGATTCTGAGAAAAAAAGCCAGTGAGTGTCTGGAAGTCACTGATTATGGAGATAATTTAAAACTTAACGGCCGCTGAAATATTCTATTACGTTTTATTACTCCACTGCAGGTTTCATACTACAACATGAATTGATTGACGCTTCAGGAATTGTTCTGTGTAGAAAATCGTCGGGTTTCTATCCTTCACTCTTCCCTCTTCACTTGTCGAAAAAAGTAAATAATTTTATGGTAATAACAAGTGGGAAATTGCTCTTGGCTTTATATAGCATAGCTAACAATTTTTTTTTGCTAACAAATTGGCAATATGCTTATGCGAAAGGTCATTTTGCACATCACATATTATTTTGTTAAATTGAATTATATTTCTTCCTTAAACAATTGTTTTAAATTTCTTGGGAAAATTCTTGCAAAAATCAAATGAATGATTGATGCTGTCTATATTATCTTCAAATTTCGATGAAATGGTAATAGAATAACTTTTTTCATCCATAATTGAATGAGTTTGAAATACTTAGTTTGAAGAAATCGTCGGAAAATTCACTTTCAGGGAAATTTTGAAAAAAAAATTAATTTGCAAAAATCAACATGAAAATTAAACCAACAGATGTAACTGACAGGGTGGCATTGAAACAAATATTTCAAACTATGATTGAATTAATTTGAGGCAGGAAATCCAAAAGTATCTCCGGAATTTTAATTTTCAGCAAATCATAAATTTTAAAAAATTATTCTGTAAATCAAAACAACGACTAGTGCCATCGTCTTCAGCTTCGAATTCGGTTGAAGGAACATCGAAACAATTTTTTAGAGCCATCATTCAATAAATTCAGAATATTTGTTTAACCTTTCGTGGAGAAAACGATTTTTGAGAAAATTGAAAATTCTAAAAATTGACATATGAATTCAATAGTGAAGTGGTAAACGGAGATAAGTCGACTTGTTTCCCAGTTGAGTTTTTGAGGAATATTTCCGAATCTAAGGAAGATAGCGAAATTTTCATAATTACATTTGTTGTAGCACTTAACCGGCTCCACAAAAAAGGTTATAACAAAAATTTTGCTACCTTCCTTAGATTCCGAGATATTGAATGAAAACTAGTCAATAGTCGAAATTGACTTATTTCCTTTTACCACTTCGCTACTGAATTTAATTTCAATTAATGTTGATGGATCGAACTCAACAATATCTACTTTTAAAAAAAAATTTGAATTCTACAGATTCATTATTTCAGATCATAATGGATTGATATAACACAAAAAATCCCAAACTCAAATTTGAACGATTACGAAGCTTCCATTCATTTTAGTTATTAATTATCCAATTAGTGTTTCAAAAACGAGTGGTTTCGATTTTCAAAAAAATTATCTTCACATTTCCACGCATAAACGACATGATTCGAGCTGAAGAATCGACTTGTTCCCTCCCCTCAACTGCGAAACTAAGTCCCTCGCGATGATTCAATTCAATAAACCTATTGTTTTTTTTTATTTAATCATATGACCTCTCCCACCAATTGATTTTCCGTAGCTCTTCACCCGTGGACATAAAACTCGGCGACTCGGGGNGGGGACAAAGGTGAGGCAAAGAGCCCCTGGAAAATGAAAAATTTATGGGTGGTGACGTTTTTATATATTTCATCTGTTTCCCCAAAGTTTTATACGAAAACTCGAGGGAACAGGTGAAACCAATAAATTCGGACGATGTGATGCCATCGCTGAAGTATATTTTTGAATTATTGTACTGAGACAAATTTATCCTGCCGAACAATTATACATTGCACGTATTCAGGGTTTGATTGAAAATTCAATTAAGTTGGGGAATTTTTGTCTCTGTGTGGCTCAAAAATTTGGAATTTCCTTGAATCGTCAGTGAAATTTCCAATTTCATGATTCATTTCCGCTCATAAATTTTATTTTGAACGATTCAAAGCGAATCAAATTTTGAAAAATTGAATTGAAATAAAAATTTGAATATCAATTTTAATTTTTGGCGAAAACTTACGGTACTTTTTTTTTTAATTTTTCATCGACTCAGTTCTAATGAAATTCCAAGAAATTTCGTGATTGAAAATTCACAATTTTATTTAAAAAATCAATGAAAACTGTAAATTTCAGTTAAATTATTCCATGAAAATTTATAGAGGTCAAGGGAATTCAGGGGAATGTTCTTAAATTTTCAATTAATTGAAAATTTTGTATCGTTTAGCCCTAAATATTCAGGTTTTGATTTTAAAAAATTCAAATATAAATTGGGTAATTTTTGGGTAATTTAGTTCGTTAAATTTAATTTTCAATTTCATTATTTCATTGTTATGGCTTTCGGGTGAATACTGCAGTATCGGAGCAACTTACCCCGCAGACTGAATGCAGACTGAAATGTTTGCGAAACGTTGGCAAAAACATGATTTCGATTGCTTCTAGATCGAATTCAATGATTGTCTCAACAAGAAAACGATTAAATTCCCGGTATATTTTCTTGAAATTTGTATCAAGTAATTTCCTTATTCAAAGAATTCCAAGAAATGTCCTAATTGGAAATTGACAAGTTGATGAAAAAAATCGGCGAGAATTGTAAACTCAAAATTCAAAATCCCCCAGAAATTGATACTGAATATTCACGTTTTAACCCTAGTTTGGTCACCTGACGGGAACTTGCGACTCTGGTCACCGCCGCGGGGATTTGCCGCCGTGTTATTTAGGCTCCAGCGTTGCCGAATTCACTCTACACTGCCCGGGCGCGTTTAACAAATTTCCAGCAACGTCGCACAACGGGCAATTTCATTTAACATGGGAAAAAATCGTTCAACTGTTGGAAATGATTTTTTTTTCCAGAATTTGGGATGTAATATTAAAAAAACAATACTAAAATTTTCCAGATACTTTAATTGACGAATTCAAATTTTCTCGGATTTTTCCGGTCAACCAGCCGGTGACAAGACGAAAAAAACGACACGTTGCGGCAATTCCCTCGCATGGTGACCAATCTAGGGTTAATTTAAAATTGAGCTCACCTAAACTTCCAAATTGAAAATTCGCAAGTTCCCTGTTAAAAATTTCCCTCTTTCCATTCAGATAAAAATGACGAAGCACTCCGGAAAAATTCCGAAATTGAATAATTCTCTCCGCGCATTAACGAAACCCCGAAAATGCATGACAACCCAGCGCTGCCCCAGCAAACCATTTCCCGGGTTTATTCATCCAAATAATCCGCGATGATGTCCCCCGCAGGAAGGGGATAAATGCCCACCTGTAATAAACCATGCGATCCTATTCGTCCCACTACACACACGATAATCAGCCACTCACACTCATCCCGCGTAATCACGTGTGTACAAGTAGCTATATATAAGGAAGGTCCGCGCGTGTCGAGCGCTTACAGCTTTCGCCGGCGTCCGACCGACCATCACTCACTCTCGAAAAAAATTTTCTCTCGCGTTGAAATGAATTATCGGGGGAATTGAATTGATATCCCCGACATGGTGCAGTAATTTCGGTTAAAAGTGACTGTGATTGTTGATTCCCGCTAATATCGATTTCGTTTTCACGCTAAAATGTTTTGCGAGAGACTCGGGTTCACCTTTATTTACATTATTCTGTGCTCATCGACACTTGTTGTGAGTTTTGGACGTGATTATTCAATGAACGATGATTCTCCAACAGCTGAATCCTGCAAGGACACGGAATTCAAGTGCAAAAATGGAAAGTGTATACCGGGGGCTTGGCACTGCGACACCGAGCCGGACTGCTTCGATCGCTCCGACGAAGATCCCGCCGTTTGCCGTAAGTTTTTGTTGTTTCAATGATAAGTCTGTATCGGATGGGTAGGGTAAACGCACCAATAGATGAACAGTTAAGGATAGGGGAGGGCAGGGTAAAATGGACACTTGACTTTTTAAAAAATATTCATAACTCAGAAACAGATTTATCAATTGAGATTTATTTATTAATTGCCGACATTTCTGTGAAGTATTAAGATATTACTATAATTTATGCATTTTTATTGTTTTTTTAACCATCCGAAACCTCAGTCAAGGAATTTTTAATCCCATTTTACTATTATAACGGAGATATCAACATTTTAAACCAGTTGATGTGAATTGGATTTTTCTCTGTTATTCTTCAATAAATCACTGTTCATTAGTGTCTATCACTCTCCTTATTAACTAAAATAATAACTCCAATCGTATTTCACTGTTGATAGACTCTTGGGACTGTCAAAATAATTAAAATGTGACAGCTTACGACATTATAGCTACATTTATTCTATTAATATAATATTATCTTCTCTCGAAAAATATCTCGCCATAAATACACGTAATTTTCTGAAAAAAGTTATTTGTGAAATTGGATGGGTAGGGTAGGGTAAAATGGACACTTTTGACTTTTTTTAAAATATTCATAACTCAGAAACAGATTTATCAATTGAGCTCAGTCTAAGCTCATCACGAAGAAGAATCATTATTTTTTAATTGAAAACTAAAATTATTCCATTTCATGAACAATTCAACACGTCATAAATATTTCAAAAAAAGTCAAAAGTGTCCGTTTTACCCTACCCTCCCCTATCCAAGTATCTTTTACAGTTTGGATAGGGGAGGCTAGACTGGGGAGGCTACAGTAGAGACTAGACTGTATATTCAACCATTTGCAATTATCAATTTGTCAATTCAGTAGTGAAGTGGTAAACGGAGATAAGTACTCCCAGAGATACCCCCCTTATTGAGTCTCCCCTTAAATAAACTTTATTTGAATCGAATAAACTTAATTTTAATTTGCATTTTTATCCCCGTCGAATAAACAATTTTTTTTCAATACAAAAACACATGTTTCTTACATTCAAACGAAGACTTTAGATAGAATTGAAATCATAGTTTAAATAGCGAAAACAATGTATTCATTAACATTTGAAATTAATGAATAATTGACTTCACATAATTAAAAGATTCCCATTGAAATAAATATATGATCTTATCAGTTTTCAATAAACATAATGCCGAAATAAGTAGAAACACTTCAAGCAAAGATTTTTATTTTCGATTCTAATGCTCGTAGTTAAGAAAAAACCGGTTTTACTCGGAAGATTTGTGAAATACTGATATCAAAAATTTAATTGACAAAATTTAATTTTTGCAATATCTCTAAAAAAACTGGCAAACAACGGGCTGTCATTTTTAATTTGGGATAGAATTCCCGCAAAAGAGAAATTGTTCTTTGTTCTTTCCGAGAGATATATTGAGTTTTTGAAGATGTCAATATTGAAGTGGTGAAAGTGTACGAGTGGACTTCTCTCGAAGTTTCGTTCCCGGAGTACATCTCTGAATTCAACAGATATGACAAGATTTCTGTGGAGTCTATTTATGTACTTCTCGTTTCACTCTGCAAAAATCGTTCTCGAGGGATTCTGGAAAAGTTAATGAGTTACGGTCAACTGTTCATTTCCCAACTTCAATAATACTCGGTGAATTTAAAAAATTCAATTTGAATCAAAGCATGAAGATAAATTGCTAAAACTAATGTGGCAACATTAATTTTCGCAATAGATCGAAAAAAAAATGGGGCAAAACGGGCAGTATGTTCTAATTTGAGGTAGAATTCCTACAAAAGAATTTTTTTCCCGAGAAGGTCAATATTGAAGTGGTGAAAATACACGAGCGGACTTCGCTCGAAGTTCAGTTTTCAGAAAACATCTCTGAATTCAAGAGAAATGACGGGATTTCTGTGGAGTCGATCTATTTATTTCTCGTTGTACTTTGCAAAAAAGAAGTTCTTGCGGTATTTTGTAAGAGTTAATGAGATGCGGTCGACTGTTCATTTTCCCACTTTGAGAATATTGGCTGAATTTTCAAAATTCAATTTGAAGTCAAATTATGAAGAAAAATTTTCGCGATGAAGATTCCAATGGGCGATTGATACTTTATTGTCTCGATTTCATAGTAATTGAAAATGATAATTGGCGAAAAATTATCCTAAAAATATTAAAACTACATTCTCGATTCTTGCAAAAACATTTTTCGGGCAATTTTACTTGAATAGTGCAATTTTTTATTTAAAAAAAAACGAAATTAGTTGTGTAGGAGGTGAATTTCAAATAACTAAATCGTAATTGTTATTTCACGCATTTTTTGAATAATTAAAAAATAACCTTTGTCGCTCAAAACTAGAGCCCCTCGAATTGAGAATTTTTTTACAAAAATTCTCAATTTTTTGTCAGTGGTCCGTTTTGCCCTGCGGTCCGTTTTGCGCTCCCCTCCCCTATGAGAAATTTCATTCCAATATCCTGCGACTTTCAAACCTCCTAGTAGTCTCCCCTTAATGAGATCAGATCGACTGTTCATTTCCCCACTCCAATAACACTCGCTAAATTTTCGAAATTCAATTTGAAGTCAAAGTATGAAGATAAATTTTCACAATCGAGAATATGCCAATGGGCGATTAATACTTTATTGTCTCGATTCCACAGTAATTGAAAACGCTAATTGGCAAAAGTTTGAAAACCCCTTGAAACTTAAATGCGAATGCCCCTTGAAACCGAAATGCAATGCATTGTTGAACGGATTGGGTGACCTCAATTAAAAAAAAAGAGTCTGATTAAATTTCGTAGTTTTCAAAATTAACATCCCCATCCATTATTGATGAAACGAAATTGCAAGTGTAAGTCAAATGTTGTGTCAATGCATTCGATTTGCATGGAATACGAGTTGAATGGGTTGAGGGTTAACGATGGCGGAGGACAATCTACCGATACTCGAAAGTTGAAACTCAACGTGTACCTGTGCATGCAAGTTATTTTCATTGTAATTTCCAGTAATTTCCCCAGCTCTATCAAAACTCGCTGGTTCGACATGTGTGCAGACAGAATTGAATTACAATACACGCATTTATGCCTTTATGTGGACGTTGGAGCTCTCTCGGGAGGCACTCTTCTGCTCCCAATAAACTCAAAATTCAATACGTCGAGAATAATTCACTATGCAAACCCCTTCATGCTTCCACTCGTCTATTTTCCTAGCGTATTCGCAGGGCGAAGTGCATTTGCGTGGTAATATTTTGGTTTTGATTCAAAATATACTCAACTTTTTACGCTGGAGGATAGTGAATAATGGATGTTTCAGTTACTATGAATATTTTTACGTGAGAACGTTTGAACGGTAGGGAAATAAAAGAGATGTACGTCATTATGGAAATTTTTATAATTAATCGGGTGTTATTTTGGTTGGTAATTAAACTCATGTATTTATTCCAATGGAAATGTTTTAATTATCTGAAATCAGTAATTCATTCATTTGAAACGAAGGATTATTGCATGTTAATGGATACATTCTTTTCGCTGTCCAAACAATGATTTCATTTTCAAGTAAAAAATAGTTATTTGATGTGGATAAAAATTTAAATAAAAATCAAGTTTAGTTGATTCTAATGAAGTTTAGTTAATTGGAAAAATTGTTCTGAATTTTAGAAAATAGTTTGGAGTCTAAGACATTTTGTTTTAGATTTGGAGAAAAGTCAAGTGTCCTTTTCACTTTGTTTTCATTTTCTTGTTTCCAAATTGTTTCTAGTGATCCGTAATTTTTGGAAATGGACTCCTAATTTTCAGTGACTCTTGACTCTAGCCAATATTATCATGCGAAACAGTTCATGTTTCCACTCGTCTATTTTCATAGCGTATTCGCAGGACGAAGTGCATTTACGTAGTAATATTTTGGTTTTGATTCAAAATATACTCAACTTTTTACGCTGGAGGATAGTGAATAATGGATGTTTCAGTTGCTATGAATATTTTTACGTGAGAACGTTTGAACGGTAGGGAAATAAAAGAGATGTACGTCATTATGGAAATTTTCATGATTAATCGGGCATTATTTTGGTCGGTAATTAATGAGCTCATGTATTTCTTCCAATGGAAATGTTTTAATTATCTGAAATCAGTAATTCATTCATTTGAAATGAAGGATTATTGTATGTTAATGAATACATTCTTTTCACTCTCCAAACAATGATTCCATTTACAACTATAAAATATACAACTATAAATAAAAAATATTTATTCAAGTCCAAAAAGTGTGTTTTTTCGTATTAAAAAAATTTATTTATTCGATGAGAATAAAAATTTACATAAAAATCAAATTCATTTAATTGATATGAACCATTTCTCTGAGTGCACGTTTTCAAACAGGAAAAATTGCTCTGAATTTTAGAAAACAGTTCTGAATCTCAGAAATTTTGTTTCATATCTGGAGAAAAATCAAGTGTCCTTTTCACTTTGTTCTCATCTTCTTGTTTCCAACTTGTCTCTAGTGATCTTTAATTTTTGGAAATTTCTCCCTAATTTGTAGTCACTTTTGGCACTAGCCAATGCTAAACCCTCCAACCCCTTCTTGCTTCCACTCGTCTATTTTCCTAACGCAGGTGACATCTCGGTTTTGATTCAAAATGTATTTAACTTTTTACGTTATAGGATATTGAATAATGTATGTTTCAGTTTCTATGAATATTTTTACGTGAGGACGTTTGAGACGAAAATAAAAGTTCATTCATGAGGGATTTACGTCATTATGGAAATAGTTGAAGCTGGAGTGTGTAAACAATTACGGCTGCACTGCGCGGAGAAAAAAGTTGAAGAGAAATTACCAAACGAGTCAAGCAATCGTTGAACAGAGTTCATTTCTAGGTTTTTTCATCCTATATCGGGGCAAAAAGTGCCAGACGAATAGTAAATTTTTCTCCGCTGGCTCGGAAAAATTTACTAAACGTGAGGGTAATTTGGGCCAAGCCTGTAAAATTTACCTTTTTTCCGTCAATAATTATCCCATGAACGTGAATAATTTCTCAATATTGCGTAATCATTCACATATGCGTCGGAATTTCTCTGTGACGGAGAATGATTTTTTTACCGAACTCGGTATGCTAAAATTTCACTTTCGTCCGTCCCCATGTCCTTCACATGGAAGCCGAAAAAAATACCCTACCCATGCGGGAAATTTTGCTGCACAAAGAACAGTAATTGTTGCATCCGCAGATGTATTTTTTATCGAACGAATAAGGTAAATGATCCTACGCTCGTGTAGCTAACGTGAACCCACCATTAGTCCAATATTTCTATTGAAATGAGTGTGAAGATGCGATGTTTTAAATTAGATATCAGAAAGTAAAAACTTCAGAATTAGAGTGCACTTATATTAATCCTGATAATTACTATTTTTTAATAAATAATCGTCCGTAAACGTGGAAAGTCCCATGTCCCTACGTTCGCTCATGTGTCCCCATGGACGTTTGACACATGTCCCTATCCTCGTCTCGTGATTTGAATGATATGGAAAGGTTATATCCGAACTAATTACATCGTGAGTATCCTATTTGGGATAAAACAACATTAAAAAATATCTCGAGGCACAAAATTATATTTCAATTGGACAGTCCAACCTTTTAAATGATTTTTTCATCCGTTTAGTCCGTTACCAGTTGACAGTTGGTTGCAAAATGAGCATAGGATCAATGCCATTTCCATTGTACCTATTCTTTTAATTGCCGACATTTCTGTGAAGTATTAAGATATTACTGTAATTTACGCATTTTTATTGTTTTTTTAACCATCCGAAACCTCAGTCAAGGGATTTTTAATCCCATCTTACTATTATAACGAAGATATCAACATTTTAAAATTGTGAGTTTCTCAACTTGCGGCTTAAGAATTCACTCTGTCGTAGCACCAGTTGATGTGAATGGGATTTTTCTCTCTTATTCTTCAATAAATCACTGTTCATTAGTGTCTATAACTTCCCTTATTAACTAAAATAATAACTCCAATCGTATTTCACTGTTGATAGACTCTTGGGACTGTCAAAATGATTAAAATGATTAAAATACATTTATTCTATTAATATAACATTATCTTCCCTCGGAAAATATCTCGCCATAAATACACGTAATTTTCCGAGCTATAAAAAGTTCTTTGAAATTGTCTACTAGAATCACTTTTTTTTAAACGAATACCCATCGACCAAATCTCGAATTTTGTTCCTGCAGAAATTCACATATTTCACTATTTGTCGTTTAACGGGTCAATAATTACCGATGAAGTATTTTGGGTGGGGACTGAATGTTTGATTACGAGAGTGCTCTATCTCTGTTTCTCGTCAATATTCTTTTGCTCTGGTTGAATTCAGTCGCAAGATGTAATTTTATTCTATTAATTCAGTAGTGAAATTGCAACACGGGACAGAACAGCACAACTCGCTATTTAACATCTTGCTGAATATTTATTTATCTCCGTGACGATTATAAAAAAAATGTGGAAAGTCATTCCTCGGTAGAATTAACTTCCGTGGAAAAAATATCTCAACATAAATACACATCATTTTCTGAGCCATAAAAAAGTTATTATGAAATTGTCTCTCAGAATCATTACTTTTTTAAATGAATACCCATCAAGCAAGTCCCGAATTTTGTTGCTGAGCAAATTTATATCAGTAACGAAGTGGTAAAATGGTACAAGTCAATTTTGAATAGCTCGGAATCTAAGGGAGATAGCAAAATTTTTGTCATATATTTTTTGTAGAGCCGATTGAGAGCTACAACAAATGTAATTACGAAAATTTCGCTATCTCCCTTAAATTCGGAAATATTTATGAAAAACTCCCGAGTAAATTCATCTCCTTTAATTATTTCCCTGCATCCTCAGGAATATTACAGTTCTCATTGTACTCGATAACTAATAAAAAACTGAAATCCCATTCGAATAATAATTGCCAAGTGCTCGAAGGTCTGCATAATTCTCCCATTATCAATCGACTCTGAAGAAAAAAGTTGAAAGAAAAAAAAACTTAACTGGGACGAACTGGGTAGCCTATTGCCAATAATTACTCTGGTATTACGATGTAATTGAGATAGGGCTGATCTGATATCCCCTGACCTTACATGCCAAGGATAGTTATTTTTTTTTTCATGAAATACAGAGAGCTTTTAGCGCGGTAGTACGTCAAATAAGCTGATAAAACGGGTCGTACCATATGAACCTATCGATCCTGCCTGCAAAGCAATTTCGTGTGGTGTCATGGGTCGTTTGCTCCCTACGTTTCAATTTTCTGTATTGGGAATAAACAGTTCCACTCTAATTATCATCCGCATTGGTGAATTTTTTTATGTGATGCAATGAGAAGAAAAATCACTGAGCAAGTTTATCATATTTATTACAACGGGGGGTTAATGGTAATTACATATGACAGTCTCTCACGTAAAAATTTTCATAATTAGAGGAGAATGAGAACTATTTTTATTCGGATAAAATGTCAGGTAAAGCACAATTATTCAGCTCCATGAGTGCTAGGTAATTTGCGAAATTTTCAAATAATAAAACGTTAATGGAATGTCAATCAGTGAAATTATTCATACATAGGTGCAGTGGCCAAATTCTATTTTATTATGGAATGTGTGATTATTTTGATTATTATGCCTTTCCGTGCAAAATGCATTCTTGATTATCGGTCAATTCGGAGAGAAAAAAAATGTTCTCGAACAAGTTTTGAAATCATTGACAAGAAATTGTGTTTTTTCTGGATAATAAGATTTTTTTTATGTACTAAAGTCCATCAAAAAATATTTTATTCCCAAATTGCGCTAAAGGCGAGAGTGCTACCCTCCGAAGCATCAAAGAACACTTTTCCTACGGATATCGAACTCTATTTTTCATTACAAAAAATTTAATAGAAAAACCTATCGAATTCGTTAGAAAATTCTATTGAATTTCTATTAAATTTTATATTAGTTTTTAGGTAATTCTATTGACATGTTCAATAGAAAAAGTCAACAGAATTCGATTTTTCTGTATAACTTATTCTTTTCATATATTTTCTATAGAATTTGCTCGACTCAAATTTTCCAAGTTTTTTTCATTCTCTTTTTCTTTTCTTCTCATCAATCAAATCAAACGAAAAAACTTAGGAAATTTGAGCCGAGGAAATTCTATAGAAAATATATGAAAAGAATAAGTTATACAGAAAAATCGAATTCTGTTGACTTTTTCTATTGAACATTTCAATAGAATCGGCCAAAAACTAATAGAACACTTCAATAGAAATTCAGTAGAATTTTCTAACGAATTCGATATGTTTTTCTATTAAATTTTTTCGTGCGTATAAATCTACCTCTCGACAACAATTTTCCACCCCAGGATATTCTCCCAACGTTTAGCCCCATTTTTTTTTATTCTTAATTTTCAACTCATGAAACAACACTTTTTTTGAGAACATATTTCTTTTCTCTCAATACACCACTAAATTACCCCCAGCAATAAAAAACCAATTCCATCCCCAAATTGACGAACGAAAAATTACAAAAGTATCTAGAAACTGCAGCGAGACAGAGTTCCAGTGCAGCCCAGGCGAATGCATATCAAAGTCATGGGTGTGCGATCACCAGCCGGACTGTCAAAATGGTTTGGACGAGAAGAATTGTCACAGTAAGTCTAAAGAAGCCCGGAGATACCACCGACGAACGAAATGAGAGACTGGATTAGACCTGGACAACTGCGGAATAGACAAAAATCCTCATCGGCCACTGAACCATCTAATTCTCCCTTAAAACACATGAAAAAATTCAATAGAAAACCTTGCGAATTCGTTAGAAAATTCTATAGAAATTCTATGAGGTTTCGATAGGATTTCTAGTGGAATTTTATTTAAAAATTCTAGGGGAGGGTAGGGCAAATCGGACCCCTAGGGCAAAACGGACCACTGACAGAAAATTGAAAATTTTTGTTTTTGCTTCCGAATGGAGCAAATTCTAATTCACTTGTGACACTTGTTGTTTATAAAACCCCTGTGACGGTTACGACCCGAGAAACTCACTTTTAATTCAACACATTCAGTGTTCCTGACTTGAAGGGAAAAAAAAATTACCAATTTTCTGTCAGTGGTCCGTTTTGCCCTCCCGGTCCACTTTGCCCTACCCTCCCTTACTTATTTTTTGTACTGATCCTATTGAATATTTAATAGGAAAAAGTCAATATATTTTGAATTTCTCTTCGAATTTTTCTCTTGAGATTTTTTCTATTAGAATTATTGGGCTCAAATTTTCCAAGTTTTTTTCGCTGAATTTTGTTTTGTTTTACATTACAGAATGCAAGTGAAAAAAACTTAGAAAATTGATGCTCAAGCATTCTTGTAGAAAAAATCTCAGGAGAAAAATTCAACCAGAAATTGGAATAGAATCAGCACAAAAAACAAATCAGTAGCGAAGTAGTAAAAGGAGATAAGTCAATTTTGACTATTGACTATTCAATCAATATCTCGGAATCTAAGGGAGATGGCAAAATTTTTGTTACAACCTTTTTTGTGGAGCCGATTGAGTGCTACAACAAATGTAATAACAAAAATTTCGCTATCCCCCTTAGATTCGGAAATATTCCTCAAAAACTCAACTGGGAGATGAGTCGATTTATCTCCGTTAACCACGTCACTACTGAAATAGAATATATAAACAGAATTCCAATAGAAATCCCTAGAAACCCCATAGTATTCCAACAGAATTCCAACAGAATTTTCTAGCGAATTCGCTGCGTTTTCTATTCCATTTTTTCAGACATAAAACTAATGAATCTGCATGCTCTCCACGCCCAGGAACCCAATCTCCATCAAAGCCCGATGGAATCAGCCGCCAATCACCAATAAAACAATAAAAAACAATCATCCCTAAACGGGCATTAACGATTATCAACATTTACTAATTCGTAGGTGCCAAGAATTGCACGGCGGAGCAATTCACATGTCGTTCGGGAAACGGTGAATGCGTTGCATTGTCTTGGATGTGCGACGATAGCCCAGATTGCACTGACGGCTCTGACGAAGCTGACTGCAGTAAGCTGCTTAATATGCATCAGCACGAGTGCATTGTGTATTTAACAATCCATAATTCCTCAATCAAATAATTGACACGAAAAGACCGCTAGTCTGCATGTCTAAAGTGCTTAACAGCCTGAACAAATTATGCATGCACATTGTTATTGATCCCCCCCGGGGGTAAATTTACCCAGCAAATTCCCTACTTTCTGGGGCCATTTGTTCACCTCAAGGAATGTCAGAGTCCAACATTTGCAATCCCGAATGCACAACCGCCCTGAAATCCTCAACCCTGACCCATTAATTATCGTCATAAATTTCATTTCGCCTTTTATGCCACTCTACCCCCTCCCCCCCCGCCCCTTTCAACTTCCTCAGCTGTATTTTTTGTACGTTTACATAATGTGAAAGTTGTTTGTTGCACAAGTATCGTAGATACACATTACTTGCTCTTGATTCATATAATCTACTAATAGAACACAACTCTTCCGTTATTATTCCCTTAAATCTAGTTGTCTCTTCCGTAGATGTTTCCAAGTTTCCGCATTATTCACTGTTGTTTTATCTCCATGAATATATTGCCCTAGATTTATTCCTCGGTTGTATTGAAGAGTAGAGAATAAACAGAGGAATGAGTGTGTCGTTTTGTGGAAATAGCTCTTGTCAAGCCCGAGTCCCTTCGCGTTCTCTCATTTTTTTTTTATTATGTTTATGGAGGGCTTCTCCATTTCTTTTTACTCTCTCATTTCGCTCACGTGAATATCATACTCTTGATCTGTATCTTTTGTTTTATTGAGCATGAACAGAAAGATAGCATGTCCATTCAGAATAGTTGTTGTTGTAGGCGGTACGTTCTGCGGTTTCTCTTGTGCCTGTGGAAATTGAGTCTCAAGTTTCTTCAATAGCTATTGATTTTTATAAACCTCTTTCTGTCGGCTTTGTTCACTCTGTTCTCTCAATTGTCCAATGGCTTTGCTATCGATGTCTCAGTGGAGTGCTCCAGTAGTTTCATTTCATTATTGCAGTGAGAAATAATTGATTTTAACAGATGACACGTGCAGAACAGACCAGTTTACTTGTGCCAACAAAAAGTGCATACAGAGCAGTTGGGTCTGCGATCAGGACGAGGATTGCGATGATGGGAGTGACGAGAAGAACTGTGAATCGGTTACTTGTCGGCCTGATCTCGATTTCAGCTGCTCGCCTGGCTACTGCATAACGTCGAGATGGCGGTGCGATGGGGATTATGATTGTCCCAATCATGCTGATGAAATTGGATGTCCTAATGCAGCGGTCGACCACTACTCCAGCCACTGCGCTGATCATGAATTTCACTGTGGGGATCGGCTGACTTGTATTCATCAGAGCTGGGTCTGTGATAATGAGAAGGACTGCCCCAATGGAGCTGATGAGACGCCCGAGAGGTGCAAGAATGTTACGTGCAGGGCTGATCAGTTCCAGTGCGGCGATCATCAGTGTATTCCAGGTGAATATCAGGCGTTTTTCATTGATTCAGGAGCGAAGTGGGAAAACGGTTCAAGGATGTACAGCCTTTCGGCCAAAATTCACGTTTTTTTAATTTTTCTGGCAATTTGTTGATCGCATTGACGAGAAATAATATACCATTTTTGCATTTTATCATCATTGACTGACTCACGAAGTTTCGTAGTAGCACGGATGAAAAAATTTTATAGAAAAACCTATCGAATTCGTTAGAAAATTCTTTTGAATTTCTATTGAACTGTTCTATTAGTTTTTGGCCGATTCTATTGAAATGTTCAGTAGAAAAAGTGATTTTATAAAATTTTTGAGAAATGTTCTTCTTTGAAGATTTTAGGAGCTCTCAGTCATTTTCGCTTCATTAAATCTCGATTAAGCTCAATCAAATATTGAATTGAGGAAAAAACAAAAGTTTAGTACTGGAGTTTTAAGTTGAGACTTCGATTTCTACTCAATTTTTTTTTAATTCAAAGTTTTTCGGAAAGTTGACCTCTGAAATCTTAAACCAAGTAGATTTTTTTGACTGAAAAAATTTACTTGATTTCATTTGAGAAATGTTTTGGCCCAAAAGTAGATGGAACATTTTACATTTAGACTGGAATGTAGGTTGTTGAATTATTTTTGAAATTTAGCTAATATAACTGCATTTTAACTTTCGATGTTGTTAATTTGAATTCAATTTGAGACTAAATCACGTCTTACTTTCGATAAATTGAGAATTGAGAACAATTTTCACAGTTAAAAATTGTGCGAAAAATCAGGGATCGGCAATAATCACTACTTTAGTAATATTAAAAAACTTTAACTTAAAATAATCAAAGTCCCCCAATTTTTTATTGAAATTTGAAAATAATTCCACCTGTCAATTTCCTCTCAAACAACAAATTCTCAAATTGATCAAATTCTGAAATTGATATTTCGATTAACAAAATAATTCTTCTTTAAAAATCAATCACTCATTTACAAAATATTTAAAAATCGAAAAGCTTGAATAACAATTGATTCCACAACAGTTGAAAAATCCCCCAATAAAATTACCCAATTTCGTATACAACGAAATAATTCTACCCCCTCCTTAAACGTATTTCGAAGCCTCCAAATTTCGTGTGAACAAATCACTCTTACAAATTCCACCCAACTGATCTCGACAAAAACCCCAAGACATCCCGGAACCCCGACAACAAATTTCCCCCGATAAATCTCTCCCAAAAAAGCTAAACCCCTAATGACTCCCAGGGCATTCATACTGCGACGGTAAGCCCGACTGCCGAGACGCGAGTGATGAGAAGAATTGCGCATCAAAGCCGTCCCCGTGTGATCCGCAAACACAGTTTGAGTGCAGCGAGGGTTCCTGCATCCCCCTGGATCACGTATGCAATAAGAAGCCCGACTGCCTGGGTTGGGAGGACGAGAGTGAGGAGAGATGTGGTGTTAACGAATGCGAGAAGAACAACGGCGGTTGCAGCCACACATGTATCGACATGCCGATTGGTTATCGATGCGGCTGTCGTCCTGGCTATCGACTTATTGACAACAGAACGTGCGACGACATAGACGAATGCCTGGAGCCCGGCAGCTGTTCCCAATTCTGTCTGAACGAGAAGGGGACCTTCAAGTGTAGCTGTGCACCAGGATATCTCAGAGATCCGAAGAATTTGACTCGCTGCAAAGCTGCTGAGGGCCACGCTAGCTTACTATTCGCGAGAAGACACGACATTCGCAAAGTAGCGCTCGATCGTCAAGAGATGACAGCCATCGTCAACAATACGAAGATGGCAACAGCCCTTGACTTCGTCTTCCGCACGGGCATGATATTCTGGAGTGACGTCAACGATAAGAAGATCTACAAGGCACCCATTGACGAGGGCAACCAGAGGTCTGTGGTAATCGACAAGGACCTCACCACCACCGACGGCTTGGCCGTTGATTGGATTTATAATCACATTTACTGGACTGACGCCGAGAAGAATACCATCGAACTCTCTAATTTCGACGGCAACATGAGGAAAACTCTCATTAGGGATCAGGTGCAGGAGCCCAGGGCCATTGCACTTAATCCACTTGAGGGCTGGATGTTCTGGACTGATTGGGGGGAGGAGGCCAGGATCGAGAGGGCTGGCATGGATGGATCTCATCGATCGGTGAGTTCATTCTTGATGTTATATATTTGCACAGTTCTTAGGCAAGGATAGCTATATTCATAAATTATCAGTAAATTATTAAATGGTGATCTAAATCATCATTAAATTTTTATCGTTAAATTATTAAATAGTCAATTTGTCAATATCCCTCTTACATTTTAATTATTGAAGTAATCATCAATTTAAGTATTCACGAAGATTGACGATTATTTGGATAATCGGGAATCACTTATGAGATATTTTGCATTATTTACTTGATAGAAAATTTACGGTTTCATAGTATTAAATATTTAATTCATCGTCAGTGGGAAAATTAGAGTATTAATTATTTGAGTATTTTTAAATTTCGATAATAAATATTATCGAAAATATTATTATTATATTATTTCGGTAAGTCGGAAATTTTTTTAATATTGAAGAATCGGTAACAGAATGCCGCCATTTTTCCAAATTTTAGAACAAATTTCCTGCCGAAAGTTATCGATATTTTTACAAATCGAAGCACATTAATCTCCAGGAGACAATGATGAAGATCAATGTGGTTTGGGTTCAAATAATATTAATAACTTTGAACAGGAAATTTGTTTGAAAATTTCGAGGAAACGCTGGCCTTCTGTTATCCCTCAATATTTGAAAATAATAATGCGTAATTCACCAGAATGACAGTTCAGTAAAAAATAACTTATTCTGAAGCCACTAAATCCATTTTTGCCACAAAAACTTTTCCTCTCCAGACACTCTCCAAACCCTTCATCACGAGATTTTTCATTCTCGTTAGTTTACAACCTGAGGTTTTTTCGGTTGAAACAAGACTCGTTTGAGAACATGTTTTATTCTCTCAGCGTACTAAATTGCACTTGCAGCCTCCATTCCAACTTTTTTTTATTAAAATCATCCGTTATTTACCTTCCAGGTAATTGTGGGTACCGAAGTATCCTGGCCAAACGGTCTGACCCTGGATTTAATAGGGAAACGAGTGTACTGGGTTGATGCAAAACTCCACATTATAGCGTCGTGCAATTACGATGGTACTGGCAGACGTACAGTTCATTATTCCTTGGAAACTCTGAGACATCCTTTCAGTATAACGACATTCGAGGATTACGTGTACTGGTCAGACTGGGACAAACAAACTATATTCAAAGCTAACAAATTTACGGGACAGGAATTAAAAGCCGTTACACCGCTGAGATCCCTCCAGCATCCAATGGTCGTGCACGTTTATCATCCCTACAGACAGCCTGATGGAACTAATCAGTGTCAGGCGGTTAATGGTCACTGCAGCCACTTCTGTCTGCCCGCACCGAGGATAAATATACGATCTCCATTGTTAAGTTGCGCATGTCCTGATGGCCTTGTACTGTCCGAGGGCCTCACATGTGTCGAAAACGGTGAGCATTACATCTTTATTAGCATCACCATTATTTTATGGGCAGTTAACATTGGGCCGAGTGCAGATTTAGGCGGGAGGAATATTTAAAGACGCTTTCAGTGCATGATTTAGTCGGTTTGCGACGACTGGAATGTCTCAGAATCAAGGGAATTATGGATTTTTGATGAATAGAATTAGAGTAATTGTTTTCACATCTTCTTGAATTTCAACAGATATTTTCGATTTTTTTTCATATAGTTTAAATTTTTCAATTTGGAGAAAAGTGTCTTGACTTTTCTTTCTAAAATGAGACGTTCTTAAATAATATTTTTGGACATTTTGCAATTATTTTAAATTTAAATTATCCCAGTGACTAGGGGTTTTAGGGAAAAATTTCATGACACTTTTTTTGGTAGAGAAATCATTTTACGTGTTTATTATCATTATCATTTTTTATGCCCATTTAGCATTGGGCGGAATGTAAATTTCGGCGGGACGAATTTTTAAAGACGCTTTCAGTGCGTGATTTAGTCGGTTTGCGACGACTGGAATGTCTCAGAATCAAGGGAATTATGGATTTTTGATGAATAAAATTAGAGTAATTGTTTTCACATCTTCTTGAATTTCAATAGACATTTTCGATTTTTTTTCACATAGTTTAATTTTTTCAATTTGGAGAAAAGTGTCTTGACTTTTCTTTCTGAAATGAGACGTTCTTAAATAATATTCTTAAACATTTTGAAATTATTTTAAATTTAAATTATCCCAGTGACTAGGGGTTTTAGGGAAAAATGTCATGACACTTTTTTTGGTAGAGAAATCATTTTACGTGTTTATTATCATTATCATTTTTTATGCCCGTTTAGTATTGGGCCGAATGTAAATTTCGGCGGGACGAATTTTTAAAGACGCTTTCAGTGCGTGATTTAGTCGGTTTGTGACGACTGGAATGTCTCAGAATCAGGGGAATTATGGATTTTTGATGAATAGAATTAGAGTAATTGTTTTCACATCTTCTTGAATTTCAACAGACATTTTCGATTTTTTTTCATATAGTTTAATTTTTTCAATTTGGAGAAAAGTGTCTTGACTTTTCTTTCTAAAATGAGACGTTCTTAAATAATATTTTTGGACATTTTGAAATTATTTTAAATTTAAATTATCCCAGTGACTAGGGGTTTTAGGGAAAAATTTCATGACACTTTTTTTGGTAGAGAAATCATTTTACGTGTTTATTATCATTATCATTTTTTATGCCCATTTAGCATTGGGCGGAATGTAAATTTCGGCGGGACGAATTTTTAAAGACGCTTTCAGTGCGTGATTTAGTCGGTTTGTGACGACTGGAATGTCTCAGAATCAGGGGAATTATGGATTTTTGATGAATAGAATTAGAGTAATTGTTTTCACATCTTCTTGAATTTCAACAGACATTTTCGATTTTTTTTCATATAGTTTAATTTTTTCAATTTGGAGAAAAGTGTCTTGACTTTTCTTTCTAAAATGAGACGTTCTTAAATAATATTTTTGGACATTTTGAAATTATTTTAAATTTAAATTATCCCAGTGACTAGGGGTTTTAGGGAAAAATTTCATGACACTTTTTTTGGTAGAGAAATCATTTTACGTGTTTATTATCATTATCATTTTTTATGCCCGTTTAGTCTTGGGCCGAATGTATAGCCGTTTGTGACGACTGGAATGTCTCAGAATCAGGGGAATTATGGATTTTTGATGAATAGAATTAACTTTTTATTCAGTAGTTTTTTCAACTAGAAGAAGAATGTCGTGAATTTTTCTCCTAAAATGATTCATTCTTATTGGCATTTCAAATTGACTTTTTCAAACTAGAATCATCTATAAAATATTTATAAATTTCCACCTTTCTTACACCATATGGGCATTAAATAATCGCTTTGAATTTTTCGTTTAATCAAAAAGGGGATATTAATAAATGCTTTTAGTGCATGCTCCATACGAACATGGGTGTTTTAGAATGTGACTTGAATATTTCACCAGTGGTTCCATTAAATGGATTCAAACTGGTTATTTTGGATCTGCTGAGGTCTCGAATATCCATCTCTACACTGACAATGGGAGGAGCATTGATTGTGCGCTGTTCCAAATGTAGAAACGCTCACATAAGTTCTATTGGGAATAATTCCATTTCCCTTCAGCACCTGATCTCATCCAATCGACATAAAGATGAGGTTTCACTATTCAATTAGTTCTTCGTTCTTTGTGATCGATCGCGCGGAAATAACTTCATCAGAATCTTGGAGGAGAACAAATTTTTTAAATTCAATTATTGAATTCTTTAAATGAAGTTTTTGAAGTAACTCAAACGTTTCGGACAATCACATAATGTTTAAAATTGTTCTGAATTCTACAAGAAAGTTCTTGAAACGACGATTTTTATTTTAAAAATTATAATTTTATTTTTTTATTTTTTTTATTTCCACAAGTCAATAGGTACAAGTCCAGATTTTCCTTCATTTACAAAATAAGTTCTTTTCATATTTTCTCCTCAAATCACTAGTTAATAATCAAGAGTTTGGCGAATAATCAAGAATCTCTGAATGGGAAATATGAACATATATTTTTTGTCAAATTCCCCCAGCTAAAAAAATCACTCGTAATCATCTCCTAAAACCCTCCGGTTTCCCATAAACATCAACAAATACCTCGAAGTGTACTCATTACGGTTTATCACTGTCATCCACAAAACAAAACAAAATTAGAAAAAATAGATTAGATGGATTGGATTAGATTTTTGTCTGTCAAAATTAGAAAAATCGAATTCTTCCAATTCTTCCCCCTCATCCAGTAGTAATAAAGGATAAATTTTCAACTATTCAATTAATTCTTTGTTTCTTATGATTTTTTGCAGAAGAATTTTTAAATAATAATAATAATAACAATAATTCAATTGATCAATTTTTAAAATTGAGTTTATTGAAACGACTTAAACTTTATGTAGAATGACATACTGTTTAAAAATTCTCTGAATTCTACAAGAAAATTCTTTAAATTGCTATTTTTATTTTAAAAAAATGAAAAAATCTATAATTTTCAAGTCCAGAGGTTTAATTGCAAATTTTCTTTCACTTACAAAAGAAGTTCTTTTCATATTTCCTCCTCAAATCACTATATTTCGTAATCTAGAATATCTCTGAATGACATTTTTCTGAAAATCCCTCAGCTAAAAAAATTCCTCTTCTGATTTTCCCCTAAAACTCCTCGTTTCCGATGAAAATGAACAAATATCTGAAAATCTACTCATTACGGTTTACCACTGTCATCCACAAGGCCACATAAATCCCATTCTTCACTTCACAGCCAATTGAAACCTCCACTGAACCGTGTAATTAATCAACCAATGACGATATGATGATATGATCCGGGCTTATAGCATGAAACCATATTAATATTGATTGCCAATTAACATCCACCATAAAACCCCAAAAAATAATGGACACGGAAATGCATTAGCGAGTGCAACTGCATAAGTAATTTCATCGATTCATCCATATATTCTCAGTTGCTTATCTGAATACAAATCATTCATGGCTTCTTATATTATTATTATTTTAATTATTGTCATCTGTTACATTGCATTGTATTTGCATCGATGGTGCATGAATGTTATATTATTGGGAAATCAATCAGTAACAACAACTGTGGCACCGACGACCCATACGTCCGCGAGGCCATTTAGGAGAATTGATCTTGATATAGCAACGACCAGTGGTAAGAATAATATTTATCAGCATCTTTACGGGGTCTATCACTGGTTTATTTAACATTCCTCGTGCACGTGATATTTTCGGAGTATTATTGCCGTACTTCAACACCGATGGAGCATTCTCTACAGACAACTGTCGCTTTATTTGGCATTGAGACTTTGTTTACAAAAATTGGAATCCTCGCATTGTGATTGCAGTAATGAGTAGACGGAAATTTCCAGTTTTTGAAAATGTTCTGGTCATGTCAGTAGCGAAGCGGTAAAATGATTTAAGGATATCCAAGTATTTTTGACAGTTTTGTATAGATCACATTATAGATTCAAATATTTTCAATCATCAAATTCGTGAATTAAATTGTGTGAGAAACATTTTTAAAAAATCGTGAATATTCAGCGTCATTCAAATTATATTTTGCACAGAATTATTTTTTCAAACATTTGTTGTTTGTAAATTATTTATAGAAATTCTCGTAATTTTGAAAAATTACATTTTTTTCATTATTTCGTCAATCTTTCTTCAAAAGTGAACTTTCTAATTCTTTTTCTGATTTTTAAAATGCTTTCTAGAGACTACACTATAGATTCAACCATTTTCAGCTATCAAATTTGTTAATTAAATTGCGTGAGAAAAATTTGAAAAAAATCATGAATATTCACCGTCATTCGCATTACATTTTGCACAGAATTATTATTTTTTTGAACATTTGTTGCCTATAAATAAATAATTGAAATTGTTTAAACTTTCGGATATCTATTTTTTTCGGCATGAAATCGATTTCTGATGAAATTCTGATTATAAATAAATTTGTTACAATTCCGAACAAATGATTTTTATGGTGAAAAATTGACTGTTTATAAATTATCTATAGAAAATATTTGTAATTTTCAAAAATTGCAATTTTTAAATTATTCTATTCTATTCTATTTTATTAACTTTCCATTTTTTTGCAGATTTTTAAAATGTTTTCTAACAGTCCAATACCGTTTAAATAATAAAATCGTTGTAAAATGCCCGGAAAGTTGGGGTCAAATGGAGCTCGAATGAAAGCTCCGATGTTCGACTACAAAACTAGGAAAGCATTTCACTGGATAAAAAATTGCTAAAGTACTTATCCTTAAGTCAACTTAGCTCTAAACTGAGTTTTCGAGAAATATCTCCGAATCCAAGGGAGATAGCGGAATTCTTGTGGGTACCTTTTTTGCAGCTCTCAATTCGCTCTACAAAAAAGGTTATTACAAAAATTCCGCTATCTCTCTTAGATTCGGAGATATTTCTCGAAAACTCAGCTAAGGGTTAATCTCAATTCCACAGTCTACAAACTTGAACTCAAACTTGAAAATTCTCAAGTGGTTGTGTTTGACAGGTGTAATTTGAGCATCTGGAATTCAATAAAAATGAAATCCATAATAAATAAATTAGACATTGAATTTGATACATTATAATTCAGTAGAAGTTAGTCTTGATGCGATAATTGTTTAGAAGAAATAGTAGAGTCTTTGTAATTGAAAAAAGATGAATTCATTGAATTAAATACGTATCACAGTTTAACTGTCATGTTACGAATGACGATCACATGAACATCAGAATTGTTACGCTCGACCATTTGAAATACGATCGTTTTCCTTTCGCATACTTCACTATTTCCAACAGTTAATACGTGAATCACGTAATGACAATCTGGGGATTGCATTTTCTGTGGACAAAGTGTCAATGCGAAACATCAAACGTTTCGAAAAACGCAGAGACTCAATTGCACGTAATAGTTAATTTTTTTTCTAATAAAATGTTGTGTCGGTGCTGAAGTACGTCATATCATCATCACCCGGTGTCCATATTGATTTCGAATCATCAATTTTCCAGGACCGACGAATATTTCCAACATGAATGGAGGAAGTAATCTCGGAAAAGAGCCAACTGATCCTGGACTTGTAGCTGGCATCGTCATAGGTGTTGTCACACTGGGTCTCTTGCTACTTGCACTTGTAGCAGTATTATTATACAGGCATTACCTACATCGTAATGTTACCAGCATGAACTTTGATAATCCAGTTTATAGAAAAACCACAGAGGATCAATTCAGTCTTGAGAAGAATAGATTTCCCCTTCCAGCTGCGACAGTAGGAGAGGAGGTATTGATTTGTTTTAAATAATTAATTTTACTAGTTAATGGGACCAGTCCATCGTGTCTTCGCTGGGAATTTTTTCAACTAAAACAAAATTCTCTTGACATTTTCATCCAAAAATTCTTGATTTTGGAATGAATGGACGTTAAGTAAAAATTGTGGCGCAAAAATAGATTTTTTTCTTTTATTATAAAGGAAAAATTGTCTCGATAATTAATAATTCTGAGGCGAAATGTTAAGAAATATTTTTTTATAAGATTTTGATTTTTTTTTATTTTGATTTTTTTAGAAGAGGTATTGATTTGTTTTTAAACAATTAATTTTACTAATTAATGGGACCAGTCCATCGTGTCTTTGCTGGCAATTTTTTTAACTAACAAAAAATTCTCTTGACATTTTCTTCCAAAAATCCTTGATTTTGGAATGAATGGACGTTAAATAAAAATTATGGCGCAAAAATAGAATTTTTTCTTTCATTATAAAGGAAAAATTGTCTCGATAATTAGTAATTCTGAGGGGAAATGTTGAGAAACATTTTTTTAGAAGATTTTGATTTTGATTTTTTTTATTTGGATTTTTTTTAGAAGAGGTATTGATTTGTTTTCAAATAATTAATTTTACTACTTAATGGAACCAGTTCATCGTGTCTTTGTTCGCAATTTTTTCAACTAAAAAAAATTCTCTTGCAAAAACCCTCGATTTTGGAATGAATGGACGTCAAATAAAAAGTATGGCGCAAAAATAGATTTTTTTCTTTCATTATAAAGGAAAAATGGTCTCGATAATTAATAATTCTGAGGGGAAATGTTACGAAACATTTTTTTCGATTTTTCCATAAAAAAAATGTCTTGACATTTCCATCTCAAATCGATGACTTATGATTTACTACTCAATTTATCTCTAGAATATTCACAAAATTTCACATTTCAACGTGTCATTGATTCCAACAAAGCATTTCTTCTTTTTCCCTTCGTCAGTTGTTATGAAAAGACGAGTTAAAAAAATTATTTTCTTTTTTTTTCAGGCACAAGAACCACTCACAAGCCCTGGCACCAATGACTACGTTTAAGTGTTTAAAACACTGACAAAGTTGGGCTTTTAGCGGGCTAATAAGCATCAAAGGATTGGATACATTTTTAAACCCATGAAAAATGTACACGTCCCAAGTTGTGGCAGTGTGTGCCAGGCCGCAAAAGTGCCCGCCTACTGCCTGCCAATTAAGCTGTGATTATGTTTAAGTTTCTTCTCTTCGTTTTTCTCGAATCTTACTATGTACCAATAGAATCTGTTTTTTAAAATTATCTTTTCAAGAACTGGAATTAATGCATCTCACCGTAGCTACGAAACCGTAAGAGCACAAAATTACGTATCAATCATGGAAATTTTTCTCTATTTCTTTTCTCACGTTATCCGTAAAGTGGCATCAACATTTTTCAATAAATATCGGTGGAACATAGTTCTCAGATGAAAATGCCAAAATAATTTTACGAGATAAAAGTATTTATCCAATTAATTAAAAATAACAGAAGTACTTTAGTGTCGTACTGTCCTCCTACGTCAGTAATAGTGTTCCCTTCAATGCAACTAATTGGTGGGGTTTGGATAATTGTCGAGTCGAGCAGTAATGTCGTCTCGTTATTTTTAAACCTCAATCTCGAATCATTAGCAGAGTAAACCGATTGGTTTAAAATACTTAAATAAATAAAAAAAATTAAAAAATCTCGAATCATTCACCAAATTGGGGGGTCGCGTGAGATTTAAACGAAACTTAATTAAAAAACCTAGCATTTACTCGAAGGAATTCTATTAAATTTGTAAAGATTCTCTTAGTATTTTATTCAAAAATACTAATCGTTTTTTGCGTCAATTCTATTGGAATTTATGCACGTGCGAATTTTCAACAGAGAATTTTGATGGAAAAAAGTCAAAACATTTGGATTTTTCTGTACGAACTATTCTTTTGAGATTTTTCTAAACAAATTCTCGGACATCAATTTTCAAAGGTTTTTTTCCAATAATTTTTGCCATGAAAAATCTTAAGAGAATTTTTTGTACAGAAAAATTAAACTTTATTCACTTTTTTCTATCAAATAAATTAGATGGAGATGTGTAGAGAAAACTAGGTTTTTCTATTGAATTTTTTCATACGTTATATGAAAACTTTTTCATTTTCTCGAAGGAATTCTATTAAATTTGTGCAGATTCTGGCACTCTCTTAGTATTTCGTTCAAAAATACTAATTGTTTTTGCGCTAATTATATTGGAATTTATGCACGTGCGAATTTTCAACAGATAATTGTAATGGAAAAAAGTCAAAACATTTGGATTTTTCTGTATGAATTATTCTCTTGAGATTTTTCTAAAAAAAATCTGAGACATCAATTTTCAAAGGTTTTTCCCAGTAATTTTTGTCATAAAAAATGTCAAAAGAATTGTTTCTACAGAAAAATTCAAATTTATTCACTTTTTCATATCAAATAAATTAGATAGAGATGTGTTGAGAAAACACTAGGTTTTTCTATTGATTTTTTTTCATACGTCATATGAAAACTGAACGAAAAACACCAGATGATTTTTTTTTAATCCATAAATAATGAAATTTATCTAAATAAATTGAATATAATCTGTTTGTAATCAGTTTTCGAAATAAAAAAAAATTATCCGATGTTTTTCATCCATTTTCCGTACTCGGGAAGAATCTGCAAAAACCCAATTGACGGGGAAAATAATTTTACTCACCTGAGATGCCCAATTTTTCTATGAAAGTAAACCCTAAATTCTTTATTGAATGAAAAAAAAAACGAATTCTGCTCGACTCGATAGCTTCACGTTCCTAGAAAACGCCGCCCTGTTTTTTTAGACTAAAGAGTGCGTGTGACGTCAGAATAAAAAATTGTACATACATCTCTATCAGTAAAGAGGAATATAATTTTCATCGACTCATATTTATGTTCACAATCAGTGTATATATGAATTTCCGATATCAGCGGATTAGTACCTCGATTTGATAATAATCGAGACGATAATTTGTAGAATTACTGGCTCCAAACCAACACCACGAGAATGGATATAATTACGAAGATAATTGCTACTAATACTCGAGGGAGAAGTTTGTTTTTTATGTTGATCATAAAAACAATTGCTTAGGGTAGTGGAAGACTAAGTTATTCAATAATTTGTGTTGGTAGTTGTTCATGTTAAAATCGGGTACTTCAACACTGACACAGCATTTACTTGACAAAATGATTTATTACGTACAATGGAGTCTCTTTATTTTTTGACGGATATTTTTGAATATTTTTTTTGGTTTTTGCTGAATTGCCCACAACAAATTGAACATTTACACGTTTGAATTATACAATGCGGAATTCAGATTGCGCAATAGTTAATTGGGGTTGCACATCACAATTTAGGGATTTCAGGGGAAAATGACAAGAGGTATTTTCTTGAGTTGAGGGAATTTGCAACAAAAATTGTCAATATTTTTATTTCAAAAAAATTTTTGATAGTTTAATATTTGTTGCTTTAGAAAATGCTAATTTGAGGCACTGCAGAAACTACTGTATCATCCCAATTACACATTGCGCAATCTGAATTCCACCTCGACAATTTTAACTTATAAATGTTTAATTTATTGTGGACAATTGGAAGCCCTTGAGTTATAACATATCAATTCAGTGGCTTCAGGAGAAAATTAAAGATAATCTTCTCGACCTGAGAGAATTCCCAGCAAAAAATGTTGATATTTCAATTTCACGGATGTCCTTGATAATTTGATATTGACCAATTACAGAAACTGGTGATTTAAGGGGAAAATAGAACAGATTTTTTTTCTGAAACTGCACTCATTCACCTGTAGAAATTACAATGTTCCATCTCTAATGTATGTTTATAATTCAAGCGTGTGCAATTCAAGAAAAGCACAAGATCCATAAAACCCAGGTCCAAAAAGCCATTTTTTCCCTTCGAATTCATCATCATTTACAAATTTGAAATAACAAAAATAAAAAAATTATAAAATTAATCAGTAATTACGTTTTCCCACTTCAATTTAACGGTATGAGAATTTAATTCTGCAGACAAAATCTTGCAAAACAACATATATCCAAAAATGAAAAAACTCCATTCTGTGCAATCGCTCATTTAATCACAAAATTGCTGTTGCAGTCTTAAAGTACTCCTTCTAAAACGATTAATTCCTCAATGATGTTTAGTTATCATTACCATAGGATTTATAGAATAAATTAACGACTAAAAACCAACTAGATATAATTAAGAGCAGCTCAATGACACTAACACTGAAATGTATAATGTGACAATGCGTCTGTTAATGAAAAAAAAAACGGTAAAGCGGAGAGCAATTATTTAGGTAAACCTGTGTTAACTATAACTGATAAATCAGTGTACAAGAGATATGTATAGAAATATTGTACCAGATCTAAGTATATTCGCTTATATATTATAATTATTGTATTAAAATCATGAAAATCCATATTTTTATTTATTTATTCAATTGATTCAACCAATTATCATCATTACAAAGTTTTATGTCGATAGACATTTATTTATTGTTCAATGTTTCTACTGAAACCAACCGTCCAGATGAATTTCAAAGAGCGCATGGCGCAATGCTGTAATTACCCTGACACAATTTCACTTTTTACCAATTCTTTCAATTTTCTATTAGAGTCATATCAATTAATTTCAGTAGCGAAGCGTTAAAACGGTTTAAATCGATTATCTCAGCTGAGTTTTTGCGCAATATCTCCGAATCTAAGGGAGATAACGAAATTTTCGTAATGACCTTTTTTGCAGGCCGCATCGAGAGCCACAAAAAATGTAATGACAAAAATTTTGCTATCCCCCTTAGATTCCAAGATATTCACCGAAAACTGGCCAACAGTCCAAATCAACTCAAACCTTTTCACCTCTTCGCTACTGATTTGCCCCCAGAACCCGAACGAAACCCTAAAAATCACAAATTGTGCTATTTTTACTGCTGAACAATTGTAAACGTAAGGGAAAAATAATGCATTGCGTAATGCTTGATTCTTACAAAAAAAATTAAAAAAAAAACATTTTGATGTTTGTGTCTACGCTGAAATATTTTCATGTAAATTCGACACCCCAAGAAGTCATGGGACATTAAATAAAACTGATTAATCAACACGTGATAATACAAAAACCTACAATTTCGTTTATTCATCTTCTCCAGAGGTCTGTGTACTCGACTTACAGAAATACCAATGTTTCTCAATTGAAATACATAAATACAACAAAACACCTGGTATGGCCCTGAATTTGAAAACTCAATCATCGAAACTGATCGTCAAACTAATTTAATTCACCAATCAAATTAATTTGGCTGAAAATTCCCAAGCCCCCACTGACAAAGTCCATTCAACGAAAGTTCATTCGATCTCGTCCCCATCTACTCAAATTAGATGACAGAGGCCTGACGTTCCACCGACCCTCCCCACCAAATTAAAAATTGAAAATACAAATGGACTTATCTACAAAAGTTTACGCTTCAGTATCTCATAGACCATTTTATGTCTGAAGTACGGCATATCATCCTGACTGAACGTTATCCTCCTATTAGCACAGATAAATTCAGCAAAAGTACACGAGAAAACCCCACAGTCGCTGCCATTCATCTGCTGCGGAATATCACTCATACACTCAGCAGTCCAGTCACTAGTATCAAAGCTCTTCTTCCTCTTATCCATACTCTCATCCTCGAGATACTTCCTGAGCGCCCTCAAGCACTTGGGGTTCTCCCCGCCCATCGAGTCATAATACCGAATTGATTTGTCTCGAAAATCGATGATGGACATGCACCAGTGCATTTGTAGATGCACCGGCACAACCACAATGTCCTGTGCAAAGATATCGACTTTCCTGGTCCACCGTTTGAGGACAGAGTGCCCACCGGACAGTAATTTAGGGTAGAAGAAGGTGTTCATGGCGTAGACATTTGGATACTTCTCGCCCTTGCCCCTCTCGATCAATAGGTTCATGTAGAAATTAATGACCTCATCGTTGAGCCAATTGAGCCCAGACAACGTGTGAATGTCCTTTCGAGTTATTCTCAGGCCAAAGCCCTCGGTGAGCACCTCATCGGGGGGTCGTGGTACCAGTGCCCTCTGCACTTCACTCGTCATCTCAGAAGACAATTCAGGAAGTTGGTCCTCATCCTCCTCCTGCTCCTCCAGGACAGCCTCGTAGAGCCTCATGGAACGCGCCAGCTGCTCCTCTAGTGCAAACTCACGCTGGAGACGATTGTGTTTGGCTAGGATTTCCCTCATTCTCTCCAGCTCGGCTGCCTCCTTCGACCTCTTCTCAATGCGCTCGTTGTAGCGCTCGGCCACACGAGGAATGAAGTCCCCCTTCATCACAGCCTTTCCTGATAATCTGTCTCGAAGGGAATTCGTTGCTATGCAGTCGCGATTCACCAGGGGCTTTTTAACGTCTTCGAGTTTTGGCTTTGGGGAAGATTGTGGGGGTGTCGACGTGTCGTCGTTGTCGTCGAGTTTTATTACCTCGATTGATCTTTCCTGGCGGGTCACTGAGGACCTGGGGAGGCGGGACATTGGGGTGTACCAGCGAGAGGGGGTTTTTAGCTGGGGAGTGAAGAAGACTTCTGCTGGGCGTGATGTCGAGGGCTCCATGCTCTCGATGTCTATCAGCTCGATTGGCTTCTGGCGACGACGAGTGTCTGGGGTCGCTGGGATCACCTGGATCCTCGGGTTGCAGTCCTGCAGGAGGCGACTGTAGTCTGCCTTGTCTCGCAGCTGGTGGATCTTGTCCAGGACTGAGATCCTCTGCGGGATCTGGGGCTTCGAGTTCAGGCGACTCTTTCCTTTGAAGGATGTCATTGTCAAGTGGTTCCTCGAGGCGATGTGGTTCGGGCCCTTGTGGTTCGTGTAGCAGGTGCTCCTCTTCTTCAGGGAATTGTGCGAGTTGTTGTGCAACGAGTGGAAGGAGTCGTCGCAGATCTGGATGTCCTCCGGGTCGTCCTCTATCTCGATTATCTCACGGTGGTTGTTCAGGCTATCACGACGCACTTTCTTTGGGTTGACATTGGTGTAGTCGTCGAACAGCGAGTCACTGGCGTGACGCTTTCGCGAACCCTCGTCACACCAGCCGAAGAACTTTTTCAACACGTCGAACAGCATCTTTAGCACGGTTTTCCAATTCAGCATAACATGGAGTGGACGAGGCGGCGAGGCTTCCGTGGGCCATTCAGTTCGGCGGGGTGCGGTGACGTCCTGGGGGAAGAGATTTGGGGGTTAGAAATTTTAAGTTTGTGGGGATTATTTCATTGGAGGGGTTATTCGGTTTTCAGAATTTTTAGGGCATTTTTAAGACTGACGGGAACACTTGAAACAAATCTTTCTGGTAATTGAGATAACAAAATTTTTTTCATTCCTTTGATGGAGCACAATGAACCAGTTTTTGTTGGGCTAGGGCTCCTATGGAATTCATTTTCAAGTTGATAATTTACGTAGCGGAAGACTAAAAATTTGCGGTTGGAGGGGGGGGGGGATTTTTAGAAATGTGAATGCATTAGAAATTTTAGTTTTATGGGGAAAATTGAATTAAAAATTGTATGTTTTCCTCAACAATTTAGCATAAATACTGAAAATAAACACAAAAATTCGTGAACACCAAAATTTTTAAGTACTAATAGATAAAAGTAGACGTTTTTTTTCAATATCTATAGCTCAAAAATAAATTCATCTATCGAACGTAGACTCGAGAGAAATTTATGGAAAAAATGATTTCACCCCATCAAAAATTTCATGAGTTAATGTAGAAAAAATGTGAAATGTTCATTTTCCATTTTATGAACAAATCTCAAGATTTTATGGGATTTAATTAGAGATGAAGTATACAACATATTAAATTTCTCTATAATTCCACGACACGACGTCACAATTTTATAAGTAGAATTGTATATTGAAAGTCTTGATGAATGAAATTTGCAATTATTCTTCAAAATTATCGATTCATGCGCCTAAATTCATAATTAATTCCAATTTCCCTAGGTAAATTAACGAAATTGCAAGGAGACGCCTGTTTTCCTCAACAATTTAGCATAAGTACTGAAAATAAACCCGGAAACTTGTGAACACTAAAATTTCTAGTGTCAACTAGATAAAATTCGACGTTTTATTCAATATCCATAGCTCAAAAATAAATTCATCTATCGAACGTAGACTCGAGAGAAATTTATAAAAAAAAAGATTTCACCCCATCAAAAATTTCATGAGTTAATGTAGAAAAAATGTGAAATGTTCATTTTCCATTTTATGAACAAATCTCAAGATTTTATGGGATTTAATTAGAGATGAACTATACAACATATTAAATTTCTCTATAATTCCACGACACGACGCCACAATTTTATAACTAGAATTGTATATTGAATTGAATATTGAAAGTCTTGATGAATGAAATTTGCAATTATTCTTCAAAATTATCGATTCATGCGCCTAAATTCATAATTAATTCCAATTTCCCTAGGTAAATTAACGAAATTGCAAGGAGACGCCTGTTTTCCTCAACAATTTAGCATAAGTACTGAAAATAAACCCGGAAACTTGTGAACACTAAAATTTCTAGTGTCAACTAGATAAAATTCGACGTTTTATTCAATATCCATAGCTCAAAAATAAATTCATCTATCGAACGTAGACTCGAGAGAAATTTATAAAAAAAAAGATTTCACCCCATCAAAAATTTCATGAGTTAATGTCTAAAAAATGTCAAATGTCCATTTTCCATTTTATGAACAAATCTCAAGAATGGGGCCAAATGGGCACTTATGACTTTTCTCCAAACCTTAATGATTCATTAAGTCAAATGGCATAATCAACGAGTCCAGTGAAATGCAATAATTCCCCTTCCCCTCCGTAATGACCCTAGACTGAGCTCAAGTGGCGAATTGATCCCCAACTTATAAATATTGAGAAAAAAAACACCAAAAGTGTCCACTTGGCCCCATCCACCCCAAACAGACTCACTCCGATATTTCCGCAATTTCTGGCCCATTCACGCTCCTCTGCTGCCCATTCCAGGGCACTTTCCCCAATCCACGTTCCCGTGTTTAACCTAAAATAACGGTGTCTCAATCAGCGAGATGCGCCGGACCTGAGAAGCCCAACGAAAATACAGTCGAGGTAAAAATAATAGCAGGTCCACGAGAATTCACGATTTTCAGGGATAAATTTAGGATATTTTCGGTCTATTTGAACTTGAAGATGAGACGTAAATTATCTCGGAGGTGTCCAAGGTGTTGGGCGCGAAAAACTGCCGTCAGTAGTACTCACCGACCTTGTGCTCCTGTTTTCCCCCGCTTTCTACGACTTATTCTGCCTAACAAAACTGACAATTTTTATGTACCATCCATGCCTGGAAAAGCCGGTACGAAAATCTCTCGAATTTGTTAAATTTTGTCGTCCACAAATCAAAAACAAGTTGCATCGAGGGATGGACTCAGGGGAGAACGTGTTTTTTCCTGTTTTCAATGTCACTTCGCGTGAAAACTGCCTTTACCTTCCAGTAGTTACGAAAAACGAGACAGAGGGCGCGGGGGCACAGTTGACAATTCACGGTTTATTTATTTCTCGTCATAAAGACAGGAATTTCGCAATAAAACAGAGATAAAATATTAATATTTAGGTAGGCATTAGATTCGTTGTATCAATTAACATGTCTTACCAGCTGTACAGAAACACAACACTAGGCAATACTCTGCAAGAGAGTCTCGATGAACTAATTCAGGTATTTAATATATTTTTTTCGTGGACTTTCGGTGAACAATTGTTGGGGATGTGAGGTTAGATTAAACAAATTTATTCTGGGTCTTTAGTATGGACAAATTACTCCTCAACTTGCGATCAAAGTGCTTCTGCAATTCGATAAGGCGATCAATCAAGCTCTTGCCACGAGGGTCAAGTCGAGATTAACATTTAAGGTAGGATTTTTTATTTTTTATGCAGACTGTCTGGTCGCACGAGTATGAGTATTTTCTTTGGAATTTATTGAGGGATTTCATTCATTTGATTTTTTCTCAGGCTGGAAAACTGAACACGTACAGATTTTGTGATAATGTTTGGACCTTCATGCTGAAGGATGTTGAGTTTCGTGAGGTACAAGAAGTAGCTAATATTGGTACAGTCAAAATAGTCGCCTGTGATGGTAAAAGTGAGTAATCAGCGCAAAAAAGAAATTGAATTTTTCAATAGAATCCTATGAAACCCCAGAGAATTCCAATTAAATTTTCCAGCCAATCCGCTGGGTTTTCTATTGATTTTTTTCATACGTGGGAATATCGAGGAATGCATTTTACGAAGTTTGCATTTTAATCACTTCCTATTTTTTTAAATATGAATTTAAAGTAACCGAATGGGTCAGAAGATTTTAGTTGTTTCGTAAAGCAAATTCTTTGGCTATCGAAATGTTGTTTTATTTGCAAGACCTAAATACTTGTGGATGACTAATTTACTAGTCTCTCGATTCTTAAAAGGATGGAAATGAGATTCTCTTTATTTTTAATGTGAACCGAAATCAGGAAATTCAGACTGTTGAAATAAATTTGGAAGTTCTTAGATAATTTTATTTGAGGGTAAAAAATTCATAAAATTTAAAGGAAATTCCAAATTTTTGAGAGGGAAGACGAGAATTTTCCGACTTTCTTGAATTTTGAATGAAAACATGAATATTCCTCTGAATTCCTCTAATTTTTATCAATTTCCATGAAATAATTGAACTAAAAACTACAGTTTGCATTGATTTTTCCATAAAACCTTGAATTTTCAATGACAAAATTCGTTGAAATTTCAGTCGAACTGTAATATGATAAAATTTTCCATGAAATACACTGGAAATTTCATCCAATTCAGCCAATTTTCAACAGTATATTAACTCGAATAATTTTTTTTCAAAGTTGTTCCCTGAAATAAACGACTGAGTTGAGCTGAATAATTTCTAAATAATGAAATGGACCTTAGATATTAATCACTCATTTTTCTACAGCTCTAGATGCTGACGGTGCAGCGAGACGATAACGAAGAGTACAAATATTTATAAAATGGGCATAATCTTCATCACTGGGACAACAATATTCGTGTAACAATGGCGATCAGATATACTCAACCATTGATCAGTCTGTCCAGTAAACAAATTCAGGAATAGTCAGACTGAAGTGATTATATGATATCGAAAAAATTTATTTCATCATTATTTTGTGTATTTCATATTTTCGACGACTCTGTATACGTTTACATTGTGATGGTATTTCCTATTTCAAAGACGATTCATTAATAAAGGGAGATATTTCATGTATTCAAATGATGCACCATATGGAATTCCCCAGATTGTTGGGTTCCTCCAAAATTTCGTAATTATTTCGAAGAATCTTATCTCCTGAACTTTCATTGAATTGTACAGTATAAATCCTTGGTCCTGATATCTGTATTTTTAAATTCGTCTAGTAATAGACGAGAAATGTAACTTTTTTCATTACAGTTTCCAGTGGTAATCAAATCTATAATTTTTTATTCCTCATATCAACATGAAAATCGTTCAGGACATAGATAATCCCAGCAATAATATCAAATGTATAAAATCTCAAAGGTCTCAGTCAATTGTGGGAAGTGATTTTGAGCCATATTTCGGTCAACAGCAGATGAAGCTGAAACTAGCAGAATAATCGTCAATGGAAAATTAAATTTGGGGGATATTTAAGTGTAGAGAGTCAAATAATCGTATATACAAATGTTTTTTAAGTGCGAAAAAAATTGTACGCAAATTTGTAAAAAAATTTAAATTGTAAATTTGTAAAAATTTGTGGAAATTTTTAAATTTGAAATTTGTGAAAATTTGTACACAAATTGATGCAAATGTTTTTAAGTGATATACAAACTCTTTCGCAGTTAAAAAACATTTGTACACCCCTAGATTCGACTAATACAAATCTTCTGCTGTCGAATCTTTCGCTAATTTCAGCTTCATCAGCAGCAGTCAAAATCATCAGTAGTAATACCTCAAGAGCCTCAAAATTATCGGATATTTCCCGATAGCTTCGTTGCAAACAAATGAGGGTGTCAAGTTTTGCAGGTTAAAAAACCCCGAGCGCATGCGCGAGGGGTATTCGTCGGATTTTATTTTCCCAATCGGTTTTTGGCCAATCAGGGTGCAGTGGGCAACATCACGAGGTGAATTAGGGATAATTTGAACAAATTATGTTAATGGTAACCCGATTTCCGTAGACTGTTAAATACAAAATTTGATCTGAAATGAGCCGAAAAAATGAAGAGCTACTGCGAAATATTCAAAAGCTAGGAGGGAATATCTGAAATAAAACTGTCGGGTAGTTTCAAATACTGCGCTCTGATTGGTCGAAATTCGATTGGGAAAAATAATCACAAGAATTTACTCTACAAATTGCACGATATTTCGGACGCTCAACAATTCCAACTCCACTTCCAACAATTGAAAATAAACAGCCGAGAACTTCGTTTTAATTTGAATAACAGCCTCAGTCAGTTATTTGACTGTCAAATGATCGTTCGAAAAATCGCCGGTTAATTGAGGGAATGCCGTTTCTTCTTAAGGATATTTAACCAAATTTGAATATAATTCAGTCTTCCAATTTTAAAATTCCATAGAAAACTCTAGCAAATTAGATAATTCTACTGAATTTCTGTTAGACTTCTATTGAAAATTCTATTAATTTTGGACGATTTATTCAAGATTCTTCAGCTAGCATTACGATATTCGCCACTGGTCTCACGAAGAAACGGAAGTGGAAGGGAAAGGAAGAGTCGGAAGATAGGAGAAAATGGCGGGAATTCAAATTCATTCAAGACCTTTTTTTTCTTCGTTAATTTTGAACAATTATATTTAAATCTCCTCAATTTTAAATAATAATACCGTAAATCCCCTCAAACAACAATCGAAAAACACTCATATTTCCAATCTTGCTCAATATGACTGAAAGGGGAAGGAAGACAACATTTTCAAATTCACTCAAGACGTCTCCTTTTCACATTCATTTTCAATGATAATATTTAATCAAAAAACCGAACAATTTACACATTTATATACACAAAAATTCCGCAATTGATTGCAATAAATCTCAAACTTTTAATCCTTAATAAACCTCAGCATTCGTGCAATAGTAACTCAAAACCCCCAATTTCACAACGGAAAAATTTTCTCGAAGAAACTTCGTTCCTCATCGCCAATGAGTACCTCCCTCACGAATTCCTCTCGAAAATCCTTAAGCGGACGCCACAGTGGGAACCGCTTGTTAGAATCCCCCAACGCATCCAAGAAGAATCTCCTCTCCTCCCTCCCCAGGTCCTCCAGAATAATTCGGCAGAACCGAAAATCCTCCGTTTGGAATGAGTCCAAGAAGACCTCCCTAGCCAGCGTGCCGCCTCCTCCAAACTTCTGACAGAAAGCCCCCCAGAATTTCCTGAAAGGCTCGTAGAACCTCGTGCAGTAGAACCCCCTATTCCTCCTCCTCCCGAACTCCACAGTCCCTGCCTTCTCCCTCTCCGACCGAATGCCACCGTAAATCCCCTCAAACAACAGTCGAAAGTGGCCATCACTCATATTTTCAATCTTGCTGATCCAAGTATCGACGAAGAGGATCCAGGGCCAGTGCAGCAGATACGCGAACTCGTCCCCAGAGGCACAAAACGACTGGAGGAGCGCCTCGTCCTTGACCTCCCCCAGCAAATAAACCATCATCGCTGGATACGACGTGAAGAACACTCCCCCCTCGGAGAAGAGCCTCTGGAACTTCTCGTCATCTCCAAAAACACTTCGAAAATATTTCACCCCCGAAATGTTGCCCTGGAAGACACTCTCACTGATCAAATTCTGGATGATAGTCCCTCTATTGTAAACCCCCCGTTTCCGCTCGTTCTCGAAGACCGAAAATTCGTTCGAGATGAACATCTTCTTCGTCGGAAATTTTCCGTAAATCTTCTGGTACCAGAAGATTGGAAAATACGATTTTGTGAATTTACGACACTTGTCCCAATCCATCGTCCTGGAGAACCTCTCGATGTCCTCTTCGATGCAGTAGAAGCACAACTGGCTCCAGGTGTTGAAGTCAATGGTGTCTTTATCACTGACGTACGATTTGAGAATCGCCCGTCCGTCAACGCATCCCACGTCATCCCATGAGAAATTATCGACGAAAAATTCCATTTTCCTGGAGCAATTCTTGTCGCTGTGGGTAATCATGTCTTCTACTGTCTTCAGCAGCCACTGGACAGCCTTCTCCACCATCTCCACGAGGAAAACACTCAGATCATTCTTCGTTACCCCTGGAATGTCCAATTTCGCGAGAAAATACCCCAGTTGAGTAGTCACCGAACGCAGCAGCTTCTGCTGGGATTTCTTCGGCAATTTCCATCTGCTTATTCTACTGTTTAAATGTTTCTTCACGGCTTCTCTGGCGGCTGATGTTCTCCACAACATTTGGATGGTCTTCACTGTTGCTATGTGGCGCAGTGTTAATTTTTGTTGGAACTCTATCGGGGCGGATGCCATTTTCCAGTGCCAAGTGGTGATTCATTGGGTTTGACAATACTTGGGAGAATGAACGGTGCGATTGAAGGGATCGTTCGGTACTGGGAAAGGACTCGGTTTTGTTTTGATCGAGAGGGATAGGGAGGGGAGAGGTAATCCCGATACCTCGGGAAAACTCCTCGAACTGATAAGATTCCACTGATTTAGCAGACACTCTTCGGCATGATTTTGTAAATTTTTTCTCGTTTTTTTTTTCGTTCCTCATCGGAACATTTTAGCGGACAAGACTCGGAGAATTTACATGAACGAAAAGATTAATGAAGATCCTTGCGAATTCGATAGGGAATTCTATTGAATTTTCTGCTAGTTTTTGGCCGATTCTAGTGAAATGTTCAAATGAAAATATTCTATAGAAAAATTACAATTTATTCTATTGGGATATTTTCTATAGAAATTCTGCGGCTCAAATTTTCCAAGTTTGTTTCGTTCTATTTTTCTTTCATTTTCATCAAGAAAATCACGCACGAAAAAATTTAGTGAAAAAACCTATCGAATTCGTTAGAAAATTCTATTGAATTTCTGTTAAACTTTCTATCAGTTTTTGGCTGATTCTATTGACATGTTCAATAGAAAAAGTCAACAGAATTCGATTTTTCTGTATAACTTATTCTTTTCATATATTTTCTATAGAATTTGCTCTACTCAAATTTTCTAAATTTTTTTCATTCTATTTTTCTTTTCTTCTCATGAAGAAAATCAAACGAAAAAACTTGAAAAATTAGAGCCGACGAAATTCTATAGAAAATATCTCCATAGAATAAGTTATATAAAAAAATTGAATTCTATTGACTTTTTCTACTGAATATCTTCTATTGAAAATTTCAATAGAATCGGCCAAAAATTAGTAGAACAGTTCAGTAGAAATTCAATAGAATTTTCAAGCTAATTCGCTAGATTTTCCATTGAATTTTTCATATATGAAATAATATAATTCTATCTGTAATAATTCACGGTAGAAATGCGACGTCAAACTAACTGTTATACCGCACTATTACGTGCAAAGCACGCGGTTTTTTCTTCTCAAGGAAAATTAATTTGGTTCCATTATTCATGACGAAAGAAATCCGGATTTTCTGTTCTTCATTTTCCGTTGATATACTGATGACAATCAATTCTGTACCATTATTGATTGAAAAATCACTCGTTCCATTTTGTATTTTCATTTCTCGTTAGCATCGCAATGAAAAATACATGTGGTATTGTTATTCCTACGGAAAAAAATCACAACTCATTTTTTTTTCATTAACCATTGGTACGGTAATGAAATATTAATAATTGGCGTCATTTTCTTGCTGATCGCTGATACAGTATAAGTCACTTCTCCCCCCGAAACGTTTTAGGACAGTATGTGAGTAGCCGTTGTGCTTCGAGCGTGCACATCTACCGATAAAAGTGACTCCAATTTAATTTCGTGTCGACGATCTGCTTTTACGGATTTCGTTTTTTCCGGATTTTTTAAATTCGTTCATAAGATATTCTCAAGTAAGTTGTTCATTACATTCAACCTCATTATATTTATATTCAACATTGTTAAAAATTTATTTTCTTCAATTCACGGTCCCAATTAATGGATTACACGCACGAAAAAATTTAATAGAAAAACCTATCGAATTCGTTAGGAAATTCTATTGAATTTCTATTAAACTTTCTATTAGTTTTGGCTGATTCTATTGATATGTTCAATAGAAAACATTCAATTGAAAAAGTCAACAGAATTCGATTTTTCTATATAACTTATTCTTTTCATATATTTTTTATAGAATTTGCTCGACTCAAATTTTCTAAGTTTTTTTCACTCTATTTTTCTTTTCTTCTCATCAAGAGAATCAAACGAAAAGACAGAAAATTTGAGCCGAGGAAATTCTATAGAAAATATCTCAATAGAATAAGTTATACAGAAAAATTGAATTCTATTGACTTTTTCTACTGAATATTTTCTATCGAACATTTCAATAGAATCGGCCAAAATAATAGAACAATTCAATAGAAATTCAATAAAATTTTCGAAAGAATTCGATAGATTTTTCTATTAAATTTTTTCGCCCGCGTACAATGACTAAATAAAATCGGGAATTACAACACTGAATGGAATTTCTTTAAAAATAATAATAAACAGACTAGTGTTGTCATTTAGTAATTTAAAAAAGTGTGGAAACTCTTCAGTAGTTTTTTCCTGATTTTGTTAAAAAAAAAACCGCAGCTGCTCCGCGTGTTTTTTCACAGGAGATTCGGATAAAAATTACGGACCGCTCCGAAAAAATTCCCTGACAGTTCCGTAAAATTTCCTACAACCACATTTCGCTCCGGAATTACGGAAAAAATACGTAATTTTTATTGAATATTTCTCTCGGTGTAATGTATGAGAAACGAAATTTAATTTTGTTGCGGGTAGTCCACGTACGAAATTTTTTCATTCGTGATTAATTGTCCGCACGAGCGAGAGCACAATTGCAAGAAAGGCAATAATCTCACAAGTCATTTACGTAATCGGTATATGCTCCAGTCAAAACATTGATAGCGCTCATTACCACCGCATCATCATTTTTAGAGAATTGAATTGTGCGAATAGTATTAAATTTTGATGAATTCCGATATTTACTATCGATGTTACAAAAGGAGAAAAAAACCGAAAAAGTATTTGCTAGAAAAGTCTAACGATTTCCTGTTGGTCTTCTAATGCGAATTCTACTAGTTTTTCATCGATGACGTCGATCCATTTTTTTGTAGCAGAAATGTTCAATAGAAAAACTATTTTTAGAGAAACTATTTTGTGGAGAGAAAATTAATGGAATTTTAAGAGAAAATCCCTCGAATTTTTCTACTCCTTTCTTTTATGAAACATAAAAATTTGGAAACGTTAGGCCAAGAAATTTTTATAGGAAATATCGTGATGAAATAAATTACATAGAAAAATAAAATACCATTTTATTGATTTCTTTTCTGCAAAATATTTTTCATCGCACGTTTTTAGAATCGGCGGCATCGTAATTGTATTGTAACAGAATTTGATAGCGAATGCGTCAGTCGTAATTGTTCATGTCGGAATTTTTTAAATAATCGAGCAATAATTTTCGCGATCACACCTGAACTCTGACTTTTCATCAGTTGATTCCTCCAACCACTGATATAAATTGCATTTGATTGGAGTTGCCATCGTTATTCTTTACGAATAAGTTATTCTGTCACGTGAATTTGACCTTCAGCAGACATGATATGACCCAGATCACAATTAAGATAATTTTATTGCGAGTGAGATTCATGAAGCTTTATTATTAATACAGAGAAAAAAATTCAAGGTCAGTCTCTCGCTCTACTCGCTTCCGATTAGGGTAGGACACGTATGAACAAATTCAATAGAAAAACTTACATATTTACATATTGAATTAAAATACTAGCCAACGGACGCTTCACGCCCGTCGTTAGATTATATTATATTATATTAATTTATTTATTTTATATATTTTACATATTTTATTTTATTTTATTTCTTTCCAATTTTTCTTCGCGGTTAGATTAAATTAAATTTGTTAGATTCTATTCCCATTGTAGTATTCAAATTGTGAAAACAGTTTTTCTCATTTTCAAATGAAGAGATATTTATGTTCAATAATATCAGTATAATATAATAATTCCTCTCAATAAAATCAGATCATGAAAACGAAAAATTTCGTTTTCATGATCTGATTTCATTGAGAGGAAATGAGAAAAAGGCAGGGAGAGATGATCAGCAAGAAAATTTTTATTTTTATTTTTATTTTTTTAACGCTTAAAAGAAAGCGCTTTTTTATTTTTCTGAAAAATTTCAAAACTGATTTTGTTAGATGAAAAAATATCAATGTGCTCCCTTTCTATCATCTAAATTCAATGGAAGAAAGTGAAAGAAAACAGAGATACGTGATCAGCAAGAAAATAAAAATTTCGATTTTTTAATGTCTCCGGAAAGCTTTAAAATTGATATATTTTTTGAAATAATGAAAGAATATCCATCAATTCAATTTCTATCCTCACATGTTAATAGAACACATAAAAAAAATTGCGAATAATAAAAATCGGAGATGAAAAATTTTATCGGATCAATACAATGTAATAATGTAATTTTTTCAATAGAAAAATTTACATATTTCAACTTATTTTTATATTTATATATTTATTCATTTATTATTTATTTTTATTTTTTATTTTTTTATATATGCTTCACATATATTTTATAGTAATCTTATATATAATCGAAGAATACATTAAATTGGCCTATATCATACGATTTTTTAATGTATTTTTCCACGGGGGCAATCACATGTTTCTGCAAATGAAAAAAAATAATCTGTGAAGGATGCAATTGATGTTGATGCGGACCGCATCATGGATGGTCTCTATGTTGCTAACGATATCGCAACCACTGTTCTGGATTCTGAATCGCAAACAGCCCCCAAAAATACCACCAACGGACAATCCTCTCCTCCAGCTGAGCGCCAGCGAATTGGCCAAGAGGATACGCCTTCGTCAGGTAATGCAATCGAATTATGGAAATTCAGATGATTTTTCGAATTTATATCTGGGTAGGTTTTATTGGAAACGGGGTATTTGAATAATTAAATTTGGCAAATAAGTGAAAAACTTTCTTTTATTTTATACGCTCGGAAGACACATCCGTCTGTACCAATTCCTTAGAGGAACTAACTAAATGACAAAGGGATACAACACCCTGGACCCCTGGTGACTCACACTCGATAGGTCCCACTCATCCAACTTTGTTTAGACTAAAAAAAAGAGCATAAACATCATGCCTCAAACTTCTCAGAATTTCCATCCATAAATAGTATTTTTCCGGCCTGTTGCGATGGGGTTTTTTACTCGTGTGGCGTTGGCGTCCGAGCCGTAGGCGAGGAGTGGCCAACCACACGAGTAAAAAAACCCCATCGCAACAGCCCAGGAACAATATTCTTCTGTAGTGATTTTCAAGTTTTCGAGTTTGGGAAGTATGTAATACCAATTCCCAGACGAAAAATCGTGAGAAGCAGTACAGAAAAATGTTCTTCATATCGAAAGTAAAATCACAGAAAGAGACGTACATATAATATTAATTTTTGCAACGCATTATTTTCACTCAAAAAATCCAACAGGTTTCGAGTGAGGCTGTAGTCACTGCCTATATCGAGAGAATAAAACGAGTAAATCCGCTCCTCAATGCGGTTGTTGATGAGCGATATGAAGATGCCATCAGAGAAGCACAACATTGTGACAAAATGCTCGGGAATGGAGAAGTCACCGTTGAGGAGATTGCTGTGAATAGGCCGTTGTATGGTGTGCCTATCACAGTTAAAGAAAGTTGTGCAGTCAAAGGTACAACGTACGAAAATAGTAAAAATAATCGAAATCACGAAAAATCAAAAGAAATCATAATTTCCAATTCTCATTGAGAAATCATAAAAATCATTCAAGAAATCACAGGAAATCATCCCATTCTGGAAATCACTGAGCCACCAGATTGAGGAGTGACTAGGCCCTCGGAAAATTCATATCCAAGAAAACCCCATTTTCTCATAGGAAAAATCCCAACAGAATAAATTATATAGAGAAATTCACATCCATTGATTTTTAAAAAATTGATTTATATTGCTTTGCCTCTTCCCCACTGAATTTTTTTCCGCCCATGATAAGGTCTCAGTTACACCGGGTGCACCACGATGCGACGAGGAATCAAAGCAAACGAAGACTGTCTCGCTGTAGCAATTATGAAGAGAGCTGGCGCAATCCCACTGTGTGTTACTAATACTCCAGAATTATGTAGTACTTTCGAATCGACCAATTGCGTGTATGGCACTACAGTCAATCCATATGATGGCAGACGATCCGCCGGTGGTTCTTCCGGAGGCGAGGTAAAAAGACATGATTTATGACTTGAGGCCGTAAACTAATAAACAGTGAAAATTCCATTGAAAGCAGCAGAAATATTATACGTAACTAGGGGGTTTCGCTCCCTGCTCGCTTCGCTCGTTAAACCCCCACGGTTGTTATGATGCGACCCATTAGGGCGGATTGATTTATTTTTAGAAAAAGGCTCCAGTCAACACCTTGAAAACCCTACACTGAGAGGAAAATTTTCTAATATGTAGACCATATTTACTTGAGAGAAGTAAATTATTCAATTCAATTCAATTTATTTTCCTTGATGTTACAAGAGTTCTTCCCTTGTTTTACATCTCCACCAGCCCTTCTTTCTCCACCTCTCCTTATATTATTTATTACATGCTGATATAGATATTTTAAACTTTGAAATTTTAACTAACAACTCAGATAGTTCCTTTTAACACGTTACTTCCATATCTAATTCTTTCTCCCTTTCCTGAGAGAAGTAAATTATTTTCAGTGGTTTAAATCTCAGAATGCTTGCGGTTCACAGAACTCGAATGAATTCTCATTTATCACTATCGTTAGAGATGCAAATGCGTCACATGACCCGTCATATGACGGTCATGTGACCGTCATTGTACATGAACCTCACAGGGCTTTCATATGACCCCCATTTCTGTAGCGAAGTGGTAAACTAGGATAAGTGCAATTTTTTTGAAAAAAATTCTATTGGTTGAATCGAAAGTTCTCTTAAACGTAGTCAAATTTGTGAACTCCTGAAAAAGTTCCATTTTTGCAATTATCCTAGTTTACCACTTGGCTACAGATTTGATTCCTATATTATCCCCACATGACCCCATATGACCCTTATTTTGATTCTCATTCTTATCTTACCCTTATCCGAACCCGACTTCTCACCTTTATCGTGACCCATATTGTGACCCTCATTCTGACCTTATTCCTGAATCTAATCCTGACTTGTAACTCTCGGTTTCGAGTCTTGATTTTTCATCTTATTTTTTATCGTCAGAAGTCGATTTGGATTTTTATAAGATAGAGAGGATATTCTGTTTTTGCTCAACGATTGACCTTCAAATTGAACTTCAGTTGCATTAATTTTTAATTTTAGTTTTTTCAAAATATTTATTGGAAACATTTCGCAATTTGATTGTATAGAAATGTGCTTACAGGGCGCACTCTTAGGAGCTGGCGCTTCACTCATAGGTGTTGCTTCCGATACTGCGGGGTCCATTCGAGTTCCCGGTCTCTTCAATGGGATCTTTGGACACAAACCTACACCTGGTAATTCCACCATCTCGTAAAATAAAAGTCCTTGCATACTTCAAAACATTGACATGCTCGCGACGTTCTCTGAAAATTAATTTCTTACCATGAATGAAAATATTTAATAGAGAAACCTTGGCTTTCTTTGAGAAATTCTATTGCATTTCTATTGGAGTTCTGTAAGAATTTTCTTGGAGTTTCATTAAAAGTCTATTAAAAAATTCTATTTGTTTTTTGCGCCATTTCTATAGGAGATTATGCAAGTTTACCGTGTCATTTTGGTAAGAGATATTTTTCGCAGCACGTCGTTATTCTTAAAACAAATTATTTCCAACAAATAAATTATCTTTTTCCCATGTTAAAGAGATTCTATAATGACCGCAACGCAGGTTTGACGCAGCGCGTGGAATCGTCAACATAATCGAAAAACAGTTAAATGATTGATTCAACGAATTGCACGCGTGGCGTTAACCCTGCGTTGCGCTTCATTGCGGAATCTCCTTGAAATGAAATTGCCCGTTACGCGCCGTTGCCGAAAACTCGCTATAGGCGCCCGGGTAGTATAGAGTGAATTCGGCAACGCTGAAGTCTAAATAACACGGCGGCGCGTCCGCGCGGAGGTGACCAAGTCGCAGGGTCGCGTATGATGCCCAGACTAGGGTCAATAGAATTGGCGCAAAAACCAAATAAAATCTTTCAATAGAATTCCAATAGAATTCTTATCCAGTTCCAATAGAAATGCAATAGAATTTCTTGCAGAAAACGCTAGGTTTGTCTATTAAATTTTTTCATACGTGACTTCATTCTTGACAGGACTAGTACCACTCAAGGGACATTATCCTCTTGTCAACAATGCCAAGTTTCAAAAATACTTGGTCATCGGCCCAATGGCAAGATACACCGAGGACTTGATTTTGGCTTTCAAAGTCATGTCCGCGGACTGCAAGGAGAATCTACGTCTAGATGACCCAGTCGAGCTTTCCAAACTCGATGTATTCTGTATAGATGATGCTGATCCTAGTTTTGGATTTACGCCTCCTAACGGAGATATCAAAGGCGCAATTCATCGAGCTGCTAAACATTTTGAAAAGCTCGGCGCAAGAGTCAGTAAGGTGAGTGAATTACTAATTATGGATTTAAACTCACGGCATCCCATGCACGAAAAAATTTAACAGAAAAATTCGAACGCGGCTCTTAAGAATTTCTACTGCTTTACAATTTTTCCGTCGATAGCATAAAATCTCAGAACAAGTTGGTGGAATGGATTTCCGATATTTCTACAGTTTATTTTATTGAGATTCTGTTCATAAAAACTTGTTCTCATCTTCTGTTCCCGTCGATTTTTTTTGTTATGGATGTATTTATTGAAAGAAAAGGCTTTGTTCCTTGCTCGCTTCGCTCACTAATTTAGGGGCTTCCCCCCCACACGCCGCTCGCTTCGCTCGCTCGCCCGTAATCTCGCACGCGCGAAAAATTGAATGGAAAAACCTAGCGAATTTGTTAGACAATTCTGATTATTTATTTTTTATTTATTTAGTACAATAGTACGGAATTAAAATTAATTGTAGTTCAACTTGTTTAACCAATAATAGTACTTAATAATAGTAACTCGTACAAACTTAACAAGTGAATCAAAGGGATCATGTCCGTGTCCGGATAATGTTTAAGAAGTAAATTAACATGCTTGCTTGAATTTCTGTTGAACTTTATATTAGTTTCTGCCTAATTCTGTTGAAAAGTTCAACAGAAAAAGTCAATATAATTCAATTCTTCTATACAATTTATTCTATTGAGATATTTTCTATAGAATTTTCTTGGCTGAAATTTTCTAGGTTTTTTTCATTGTACCTTTCTTTCTTTTTCGTCAAGAAAATCAAACAAAAAACTTGGAAAATTTGAGATGAGAAAATAACTTAATAGAATAAGTTGCATAGAAAAATTGAATTCTATTGCCTTTTCTATAGAATATTTCAATAGAAATGTAAAATTGCCCAGCGAATTCGCTAGGTTTTTCTATGAAACTTTTTCGCGTGTTCGTATTATAGAGAAAACAATCAGAGAAAAGACCGCATATGAACCCTGAAAATTTTTGCGTTGTCTTAATTTACAAAATTATTATACAGAGAAATGCGCAGAACAAAATCGACGCTCTCAATGACAATCAACACGAAAAGAGAAATTCATATTCAAAGTGCTCACATTTTTCAGGTGCATTCACGAGAAATTAACGTCGAATTTTCTCAATGAGTTTCAGCCTGACATCGGGGGGATATCTGACTTCTTTCCGATAGGAGTTGCATGTTTTCTAGACCTGGAGGATAAACCAACTATTCTGATACACCCCAATAATAAACAGGTAGTCCGATTTATTCCATCCGTCGTGAGCCGTTTCACAAAATTGATCTGACATATCGTGAGGGTAGCTCGGGAAAAATATTTGGAGGCGAAAACTCTAATGAAATCAGTAGCGAAGTGGTAAAACGGTTTAATTCGACTTATCTCAGTCGAGTTTCTGAAGAATATTTCCGAATCCAAGAGAAATAGCGAAATTTTCGTAATAAACTTTGTTGTAGCCCTCAATCGGCTCTACAAAAAAGGTTATAACAAAAATTTTTCCATCTCCCTTACATTCCGAGATATTCATTGAAAACGGGAAAATAGTCAAAATTGAGTTATACCGTTTTACCACTTCGCTACTGAAATTAGTCTCCTCACGATACGTCAAATCCGATTTAGGACGCCGTGTGTACTAAAGTGAAATGTGACTCATAATACGAAATTCAATAGATAAATTACATGTTTGAAATTTGAATTTCATTCATCTAGGAGCGTGTGAATTCAACCCTAGAATTCATCAAGTCGTTAGTAGGACTGTCCCAATACAGCAGACATGCGATCATGATGGGCATGTTCCAGGACGTGAATGGACTTATAGCTCCATCAGACGTGCCTAAGTACATCAGAAAAGCGGAGGAATTGAAAATCACACTCTTGGTGAATATAACTCGCCCCAACATTAAAAAAAAATCTATTGAGACTAATCAATTTGCTTTATCTGACTTTCTCAATATTTAAAAATCCTAAAAAAAGTCTGACGCCGAAAATATCGTCGGAAACACAGAAATATAAATAAATTACTTATTGCACGCAATTAATTTGGAAAAAATATATAAAATAGATTTTTAGGCCTTTCAAATGCTGATAAAATCATGTAAAAAATATTAAAAAATAAATACAATTTGTGAGGAATTACTCACGCGGTACTGTGAATACTAATTTGCAATATTTATCCTCTTAGAAACACCTTGGGGATAATGGAGTATTTTTATATCCATCATTCGTGAGTACAGCCCCACTTGTCGGTCAAACTTTTCTACAATCAACAGGGGGAAGTTATTCTCTGCTATGCAATGTTCTTGGTTTTCCATCGACTCAGGTGCCCATGGGGCTGAATGCTCAGGGTCTGCCTGTAGGATTCCAGGTAACACTCGAAATTTTTTCAATCGTCCTATTGCTATCTGACATATTCAACTGATGATAACTAATTATCGTTAACACATAAGAATATAAGGGATTACTTATTGTACGCAATAAAATTCGAAAAATATATAAAATAGATTTTTAGGCCTTTCAAATGATGTTGATAACTAATTGTCAATCAGTTAAATATGTCTAAATTAGACCGTTAATATCCTGTAATAATAACAATAATAATGATAATAATAATAAAATGTAATAATTATTTTTTTTATTAAAAAATGTAATAATTATAAAACTGGAAAATCAATTATTTGAAATAATAATTATTATTTTCAGTAAAATATAATGATAGTTTTTTTTTTAATGTATAATTAGTCATTCATTTTAATGATAACTAATCTGGGATATTTCGTAATTAATTGCTTTAAGGTGTTTGCTGCTCCACATCAAGACCGATTGTGTCTAGCTGTAGCGAAGGAACTGGAGCGAGTATTTGGTGGATGGATACCACCGGCGACGAGTTGAGCACAACATGGAGCTCATGGGAATTTTTCATAACTAGGAACGAAGTGATGAAACGAAAACATTCGATGTTTTCTTCTGATAAATGTCTGGATGACAAATGGTTTTCGCAAATATGTGAAAAATTCCCTCTACTGCCGGAGGAATTCCCAATAAACATGTACTGACATTTCAACTTCTCAAACTCACGTGTTTCCGAGATGAAGATATTATTAATAATAGTGGAAAATTTGACTTTTCACAATTTTTTACCCATAAATAGAAAAATCCCACTATTAATACTTTGATAAATGGGGAAAACCTGCCATGTAAATCAGATTTGAACGCATCGCCTTCAATTTTTAAGAGAAGTGCTGTCTTAATTTGTTAATAAAATCGATTGAAAAAATTGAAAAACTTAATTTCAAAGTAATTTCCCAGATTTTCTGCGCAGTTTTCTCAATGGAAATATTCAATAGAAAATGTTCTTTAGAAAAAATCAATAGAATTCGATTTTTCTATAAAACTTATTCTGAGATATTTTCTATAGACTTTCCTCGGCCCGAATTTTTGTTTTTTATTTGGTTTTCGTCATGAAAAGGAAAGAAAAATAGAATGAAGAAAAATTAGAAAACTGTCCTTGCCGAGTAAATTCAATAGAATATATTTCACTAGAGTAAGTCGTACAGAGAAAATCGAATTCTATCAACTTTTCATCACGCTGTGACGAAAAGTGAACTTTTCGGCACGCTCCGCGTGCCTAAAAGTCCAATTTCCGCCACATTGTGATGAAAAATATTGTTCGTAACTCGTGAAAAAATGTTTTTGCACTCGTTACGAAATATACTATTTTCTCTAGAATATTTTCTATTGAACATTTCAATGGTTACATACCAAAATTCCCCAGTCAAAATTCCCCGCGAGAAAATCCCCCCGCAACAGAACTACCTCGAACAAAGGATCTCAATGACAAAACGAAAATAAACAAAAATCAATTGAAAAAGGCCTTGTACAGTAGATGGATTGGGCATTAGAATCACAATAAGCACTCAACAGGTGTGTCATATTATAAAAATAAATACAGAACAGGTATAGTGGGGACACGGAAATATCAATCCCACGATCCATCAGTTACCAATCACACGTCGCCGAGTTCATTACGTCTCAAAATGCCAAACTTGAACAAAGATTTTCACAAACCAAATATATAATTTCAGAAAAACCGCATAAATACGCCATACGGGGAATTTTATCGGCAGGAATTATTAAGTTAGGAGAATTGGCGCAAGGAATATTGACATGAAGGAATTATGTCGGGGGGAAATTTGACCAGGGAAATATGAGGCGAGGAATTTTGGCGTGTCACCAAAAAACCGCGCAGTCAAACTGCAAAATTCACTAGAATTGTTTCTATCGAATCCCTTCAATTTTTCTGTAATTTTTTTTTGTATAAGAAAAGGGAGATGATAATGCAGTAAAAACACACCAATAATACTTCATCGAATTTGTATTTTGCCACTGAGTCTCCGAACTATTGATGAATTATTTGTACAGGTTGACGTAATTTTGACGGAAAAACAATATTAAAATGACAATAAATATAGAACCACAAGATTCAAAGTAATACAGTGTTCACAATTTCGATACAATTCAATTGCGCGCAAGCTAAAGTGAATTTATCGATTTATCATTTATTTTGACCTACTTATTTTTAACAATTCATTACTAGTTTCAAACGCACCGGCGTTTCATTGCTTTACATTTGTTTTTCCATGAGTATCGTCTTGCATTTGTCTTTACATTTACACCAGCAAGATAGTCAGACTGAGACATTGGTATTGCAATCATTGATTCAACTATGTAATCTATAACGGATGAAAATGCCAAGAGTTCACGCTCGTCGATGCACAACATCTAATTCTCGTTTTAAATGATTTACTTGCTCGCTGTCTCTATGTACGCAATTAGATCTGCACGCTCCTGGGGCTTCTTCAGTCCAGCGAACACCATTTTCGTCCCGGGAATGTACTTCTTTGGGTTTTCCAAGTATTCGAAGAGAGTATCCTTGTTCCAGATAATTCCTAAACATTGATTATACAGCATTATATAGAGGGACACAGGGATCCCCATCAATATTAAATTTCTGTAATGTTACAAGAATTTGCCCCTTACATTAATGAAGGTTTAAAATATGTTGATCTAATTTTTCGAATAATATAATGTTAATAATCTGATTTTTCAGAAGAACGTTATCTCGATGTTTTTTTCATCTTTCGTCATCTGAAATTGTCAATTATGCATCATGCAGAAGTTTTGAAAAATTATGAATGAATAATCAAAAAAAAGTTGAAAAAATTCTGAATTTTTTCAAAGGGCATTTTTAATTTATATTCAGAATAAGTTGAATAACAATAAATTGAAAAATGTATCTGATTTACGGTGACAAATGGCGGCCTGTCACCCAATATCATGCGGGGGGAAGACTGATTTCGTAAATCTTTTCCCACACTGCACAGAGACATTTATTACGGAGAAGGCTCTTTGAAAAAAATTGTGATATTTTGGAGAATTTTTTAATCACACTTTTATCACATAAAAATGACAGATGACTACATGCCACTGTTTTGAAAATTGAGATACCTAGCTGTCACTTCCCATGAGGAGTTAGTGTTTTGTTATCCCCCATGGAAAATGACAGCTAATAGATAATTTGCCACAGCGAATCAGATATTTGTAATTTCCACTTTTTTCAACTCATTCTGAATGTCAATTAAAAACGCTCTTCGAAAAAGTTCTGGATTTTTCCAATTTTTTTTATCATTCTATCATAATTTTTGGGAATTTCTACATGATGTACCACTCAATTGACAATTTTGGATTACGAAAGATAAAAAAAATCCAGATATCATTCGAAAGATAGTACACCGGGACCTTAAGATAAAATTTAAAAAATGTAGATAGTTTATGTTCTGCAATTCCGATAGAAAATGTCTCAATAGAAAGAGTTGTACAGAAAGATAGAAGTTTACTAATTCACTTCATCAATTAATTTCTACTGGACATTCTCTTTAATCGAGAATTATACAACAGTGCATAGTTTAACAGTTTAATTGAGTGGGTCATAACTCACCTTTAGCCTTGTTACCGTCCGAATAGGTGAATCCGGGGACCGAACCCGTTTTCCTACCGATTAAACCATGAAGATTGGGTCCAACTTTGTGTTTGCCACCAGCTTCGATTGTGTGACACTGTGAGCATCTCTGAACGAAGATCTGTGGCAAGCAAACCCTCATATTATCATCATTTTTCGTAATAAATCAACTCCAAATCGGTCATTTATTTCAGAAACGAGTGGTTCTAGTAGAAAATGTCACAAAAATGTTTTGTTGTCGAGGAAATTTTCGTACGAGACATGAAAAATTGAGTCTTTTTCCATGACCATTTACAGTTTCAAATCCCAAATTTTTTTGCTTCTTTTTTTTCAACAGCGAAGCAATAAAACGGTTCAAGTCGATTTTGACTATCGGTGAGTTTTCAGTGAATATCTCTGAATCTGATGCAGATAGCAAAATTTTCGTCATCAGCTTTTTTGTCGAGCGAATTAAGAGCTACAAAAAAGGTTATCACAAAAATTTCGCTATCTCCCTTAGATTCGAAGATATTTTTCGAAAACTCAGTTAGAAGCCAAGTCGATTTCACTACTGTTTAAAATATTGAAGAGCACGCGGCTTTAAATTAAAATAGAGTTTATCAAATTAGAAACGAGGTGACGAAATTAAAAAACAAATGTCGCAATCGGGAGAAGAGAATGAATCAAGACAATTGAGTGACGCTAACTTTAGAGGGAGAAACAAGAGACAAGAATGCAAAAACGATAGAATGCAATTAAGGAAATTAGAGATTCGTTACACAATATTTATGTGAAATACCAAGCAATTACCTTCTTTCCCTTTTCTACATCGCCAGCGGGGACACCCATGTTGTCTTAGTTATCTGAAAAAAAAATAGAATTTGATGAAAAAGTCTAGTGGATGCCTATTAACCTGTGTTATAAATTCTACTAGATTTCGGCCGATTTTATTGAAGAATTCTGAAGCTTTGCTTCATTTTATAGAACACATCTTACTAATTTGAACATCTTGATATTATTAATTTTTTTCCATACTAGGGGGCTACGCCCCCTGCTCGCTCCGCTCGCCGGTGCCCATATGACCCGCATGATCCTTATTCTGACCCTTGCGGCCCTTAATCTGAGCTTTGTGATCCTTAATAGCCCTTATGAGCTTTAATCTGACCCTTGTGACCCTCATGACCCTTAACATGATCCCTGTGACCCTTAATATAACCCTTATGACCTTTAATCTGACTCTTGTGACCCTCATGACCCTTAATCTGATCCCAGCGACCCTTAATATAACTCTTATGATCTTTAATCTGACCCTAATGACCCTCATGACCCTTAATCTAATCCTTGTGTCCCTTAATATAATCCTTATGACCTTTAATCTGATTCTTGTGACCCTAAATTTGACCATGACCTTTAATCTGATCCCTGTGACCCTTAATATAACCCTTATGACCGTTAATCTAATCTTTGTGACCCTCAATTTGGCCCTTATGAACCTTATTATGACCGTCATGACCCACAATCTGATCCTTGTGACCTTTAATCTGACCCTTGTGACCATAAATTTGACCCTTATGACTTTTATTGTGACCCTTAATCTTATCCTTATGACCCTTAATGTAACCCTTAATCGAAACCTCGCGACCCTTACTTCGTCCCCCAAGACCCTTATTTTGACTTTTATGACCCTCAATCTCATCCTCATGACCCTTAATCTGATCTTCGTGACCCTTGTTCTGACCCTCATGACCCTCATTTCGACCCTTAATTTTCGTGTCTTAATTTCGAGTACCAAATTCTCATCACCAGAAGTCGATTTGGATTTCTTACAATACAGTAGTAAAGAGAAAATATTTTCCATTAAACACCAATGAAAAAAAACGCGGATAAGCTGCGGAATTTTTCAACAGATCCTCAAAGCTAAAATTCAAGTGAAACAGAAATTTCCCCGTCGACTTGAGCCAAGTTTGCATCAATCTATTGTCAAAAATCATTGCATTTTGTCATCGTCACTGGGTGACCTCTATTTTCCAAGGTGCTACCGAACGCGCCCAGTTACTCATCTAACTTTGACCCTCACACGCATGAGCAAAGCCAGAGAGCCCCAGGAGCGAATAAAACTCAGCACAATTGTTGAACTCTCGTACAAATTCCAGCTTTCCGCGCTGCCCATTCATGCCCCTCGACGTCAAGCAAAACGAAAAATCATGGGACATTGGATATAAAAAAATAGCTCATCGCGTGGTCGCGGAATAAAGACAGTGGAGCACTGGCTCGAGGCCAGCAATGTTATATAATTCCCCCGAATTTTATTGCAAATATATTTAGAAGGACCATGAAAAAGACTCGGGGGAAAAACGATTTTCTCACTGTTATGACGAGATGAATTCGTTTGGAGCGAACGTAATTTTATGTTAGGATGATTTAATTATTGGGAAGCGGAAGACACGTGCTGCGAGGACGTGGGAATGCCAATGCCAATGGTAACCTCCAGGAGTTAACGGGGCTAATGTGGTTACTTCCACGTGAGGAGACTAATTTACTCGAAGATGATGATTACGCGTTATGATGCAATTTTTATGAGCAATTGTGAATGACAGATTTTACGGGAATAATCACCTGTCTCGTTGAGGGTCGCCTAGATGAACTGAACGGCTCTGCCAAAGCGTTACTCGTGATAATCGATGCACTTGCGCTGACGTAACTCGGTGGAGGGATTGAAGTCTGACGGAAATTCATAGAAGTTCTAGAACCGCGGGGAATGCGTCTGGGGGCGGAGTTCTCGAGGTGGAGTCTAGCTTCCACTAGATGGTGGTAGTAGGGGATTGATTGGAGCGAAGGGATTGGTTTAGGAACGCCTGTCTGGGAGATTCAAATCAGTCAAAGGGGCTATTAGATTTAAAAGAATGAAGAAATTTAATAGATAAACCTTGCAAATTCGTTAGAAAATTCTATTGGATTTCTATTCGTTTTTGGCTGATTCTTTTTAAATGTTGAATAGAAAATGTTATATAGAAGAAGACAGTAGAATTCGATTTTTCGAATTCCATTGGTTCGAAATTATCTAGTTTGTTGTTTGTCTCTCTTGACGAAAATAAAAGAAAAATGTTCAACAGAAAATATTCTATAGAAAAAGTCAGTAGAATTCGATTTTTCTATACAACTTATTCGATTGAGGTTTTTTCTGCAGAACTGCCTTGGCTCAAATTATCTGTTTTTTTTGTTTAATTCTCTTGATGAAAAGAACAGAAAAATAAAATGGAAAAAACTTGGAAAATTGAACACACGAAAACATTTTTAGTAGAAAAACCTAGTGAAGTCGTTAGAAAATTCTATTGGATTTCTATTAGTTTTTGGCCGATTCTGTTGAAATGTTCAATGGAAAAAATATTCTCTAGAAAAAGTCAGTAGAATTCGACTTTTCTATACAACTTATTCTGAGATATTTTCTGTAGAATTTGCTCGGCTCAAATTTTTCGTGTTATTCATTCTATTATTTTTTTTCATTTCATCAAGAAAATCAAACGAAAAACTCGGCAAATTTGAATTGAAGAAATTCTATAGAAAATATCTCAACAGAATAAGTTTTTTTTATATAGAAAAATCAACTGGGTTATGCAGAAAATCGACATTTATTGACTTCCCTCGAATGCAGCTATTGAAATAATCCATAAAAAATAAAATCCCAAAATAACCCGCACAAAATCAAATGGAGAATATCACGAATTAAATATTCTGCTTCACTACCACAGTCATAAGTTCTTGCATGATTTTTTTATTAAAATCACACAAACATCACTCTCCATCTACTTCAGTAGGTACAAATATTCATCAGCAATAACCGCCACCAAATTTCTCCTCCACCCCAATCGGATAACCATGAAAAAACAATAAATACCGTAGGAATGCTGTATCGATTAAATTTACTGAAATTCAAAGGTGTTTGAAATACGCTAGGCAAATACAATTCTAGATTTTAAATTCATAATCTTTTATGCTAAATTCACATTCTACTTTATACACAATTATCATCATTTTTTTTAGAATAATCTTTCAATTTTTATCGAAATGTTCATCGAATAGAGAAATCTCCGGCGTTTCCCCTTCAGTTTCATATTCATCACTTCGATTCCTGTGGAAAATTCATTTATTCTAAGATGATACCCTTGCACTGGCTCCGAGTGAAAAATACGTGACAATAGCTGTTCAATCTAATTTCGAGAGAAAAAATCCTAATCGACTTATTCAATGTCTTGACTTTGACCGCAATGATTTGGCCATACGACGACTGCAACGAAATGAAACAAAGAACGATCTCTTCAACAAAATTACCGGGTTAATCTAACGTAACAAGCAGTCTCGAACGAGGCAAAATCGTTCAACAATGGCGAGAAAGAAACAAGTAGAGACAATGAAATTAACTTAGATCATTAGCTGAGTTGTTATTTCTTTCTGACGTATAATAATGTTGTTTTCATCATTTTTTTAAAAATTTTTCGTCGTGATGGGTTGTTTAACGTTTTCCATTGTTGTACAGAGTACGGAGTGGTGCCTTGAATGTGGCTGCTGATTGCTGTTGCATCTGGTAGGCTAGTGGGTGAATTTTGAAGCCATATAATCTGAAAAACATAATTTTATGAGTAGATAATTGTGATAACAGTTTGAAAATTACTTCCAAATTCATTAATTTTTTAGATTAAATCGATCTTAGATTTTTGTGTCTTTAATTCGACTTTTAATTCAGTTAACAATATTTTTTCAATTTATTATTTTGTTTATTTCAATTCTATTTTTTTGTTTTTTATAGCTATATAACTTATTCTCTTGGGATTTTTTCTATAAGAATCGGGGATAGTTTTTCCATGTTTTTTGTCTTTGATTTTAATGCGAGAAACAAGTAAAAATACAGGGAAAAAACTTGGAAAATTTACGTCCAAGAATTTTTATACAAAAATAAATCGATAATAATACTAATAATAATAATAATAAAGTGAAAGAGAATAAAAAAATAGAATTCTAATACAAATTCAATAGAATTTTTTAGAGAAATCTCCATGTGTTACAATTTAATTTCTTCAGGCATGAGTTCCCAAAAATCAGTGAATTATTGAAAATAAAAAATTTTTTTCCTTGCGATCTTACCTGGGTACAAATTGATTTGGAGGTCGTTTGGGTCGGTACTCTGGATGAACCATGAAGAGCATATGTGGGAAACCAGTGCCAAAATAGGCCCCATCGTTGTGATGGTGCCTTGAACTTTTTGGAGTGTAAACATCCATGCACTTGGGACAGTAGCTCTTGACCATGGCCTCACCAGGTACATCGCTCAAGCCAAGAGGTAACATCTGTTGGGATTCACAGTAAACCCTGGGGCAGTGGCCAAAGTCACCTGCTTGATACTTCTCGATCATCTGGGCAATTCCACGGTTCGTCAGGATGTATCGGGCGTGAATGAGTCCATACAGCATCTCCGCAGCTTGCTCGATGAGGTCTGACTGATTGGGATTGTCGTCGAGGTCATCATCTATTGATTAAAAATAAATTATTATCAATGAAGAAAGCATCCTGGCGGTAAAACGATTCAAGTCGATTTGGCCTTCAGCTGAGTTTTCAGAGAATATCTTCGAATCTGAGGGAGATACCGAAATTTTTGTTAAGACCTTTTTGGTAGAGTGGATTGAGGGCCACAAAAAAGGTCATGACAAAAATTTTGCTATCTCCGCTAGGTTTCGAGATTTTCAACGAAAAGTGGCCAATAGTCAATGTCGACATGAATTGTTTTACCCCTTCGCTATTTTATTCGGCTCAGATGAACCATTTTTGGGTTTTTTAACCTGGTTCTAGGTCCAAAATCATGTCCAAGGCCTGACGATAATGTGGAACTTGTTCATTTAAACCAGTCAAATTGAATTTGTCCTGAATGTAATCTTCATCGACCTGTAATTATCAATTTGTTGATTATTTCGAAGGAAATTAAGCAAGGGATTGAACGTGCTCATAATGCATTAATCATCATTCTAAATGATTGATTAATGATTTAGTTAAGTCATAAGTCAATTTATCAAGTCATCGATTCATTAGAAAAAATTATTTATTTAATTAATTAAAAACAATGGTGAAGATTTCGAATGGTTTTTTATATTTCATTAAGGAATTTTAATTTTATTTCATTAAACAACAATTTGGTCAACTCATTCTGCAATTAAACAATTACTCAGTGTTAAAGCCTCAATGAATCATAGAAACAAAGATTGTCTCTGTGATTGAAGAGAGTTGACAGACACGAGGTGATATTGTTGTGATATATTTAATAAACACTATATTGTCAACATCGTTTCTAAATTTAACTACAAATATATGCCACGTGAAGAAACTGAAGGACTTCTGAACGGTTTGTCATTTTACTTCATGACATCTGGGATAAATTCAATGTTTGCACATGAGCCCTAGAGTTTCACCATTTTAATCTGTTTTAGCTATTAATTCTTTTTTTTTCTGATGATTGTTGAACTTAATCACGCATTCGTTTGTTATTTATGTATATGTAATTAAATATTTAAATTTAGCATATATAAATGAATATGTTACATGAATATCTAGTTCTATGTTACACTATTAAAAATTTTTGTCTAAATTTTCCGTGAGAAATTGCGGAAAGTTTTATCGTATTCGAATTCCACTGAAATTTCAGAAAAACTTGTCATTGAAAAATCAAATATTCCATTGATTTCCTGTTCAAGTGATCTGGAAATCAATAAAATACTTGATTTTTCAGTTCAATTATTCTGTGAAAATTCATCAAAATCAGAAAAATTCAGGGAAAAATTGAAATTTCATGTCATTTTGTTTCCGAATATTCATGTTCCAGTGAAAATTCATGAATTTCCGTGAATTCTACTTGAAACTTGAAATTTCATAACCATTTTTCCCCAAATCTGATTCACACGAACGAAAAAATTTAATATAAAAACCTATCGAATTCGTTAGAAAATTCTATTGAATTTCTATTGAACTGTTCTATTAGTTTTTGGCCGATTCTATTGAGATATTTTCTATAGAACTTCCTCGGCTCAAATTTTCTAATGTTCTTCATTTAATTTTTTTGATGAGAAGAAAAGAAAATGAGAATGAAAAGAACTTAGAAAATTTGAGTCGAGCAAATTCTACAGAAAATATACGAAAAGAATAAGTTATATAGAAAAATCGAATTCTGTTGACTTTTTCTATTGAATGTTTTCTATTGAACGTGTCAATAGAATCGGCCAAAAACTAATAGAAAGTTTAATAGAAATTCAATAGAATTTCCTAACGAATTCGATAGTTTTTCTATTAAATTTTTTCGTGCGTGCAATGTCACTCATGAGATTTACTATAACATCTTCCCTGAAATTTCAAAAAATTTCAACAGTGTAGGCCTATAAACAATAAAAGCATAAATAAATTCTCAGGTTGGAGAAACGGTAGGTGAACCCTCCCTCAAGTAATAATAATTGACGTGAGTAACTGTAAAGTCCTTACTTCACAGAAGAATTCATTTCCACGCAGGCCGCAGAACCATGAGATCCAGGAAACCTCTTCTGAGCTGCTCATTTTTCTGAACAAAAAACCCAAAAATTGGCGATCACCGAATTAATTTTGATAAGGTAATGTAACAGACAATGGGAGCAAGACTTGGGAAATCATAATAAATAAGAATGGCATCCTTCGACAGCGCCAGAGCATTATCTCGACAAAATGAGGCTTTTGTTCGGTCAGTGGAGTTGACGAATTCATACACATACGCATGAAAAAATTCAACAGAAAATTTTAACGAATTCGCTAGAACATTCTATTGGAATTCTATTAAAATTCTAGAGAATTCTCGTAAAAATTTAATTTGTTTTTTGCAATAGATTTGGATTTTTCTCTGTGAATATTCACGTGGAATTTTTTCCACAAGAATACTTGAGCATGAATTTTCAATTTTTTTCCCCTCACATCCTGCAATGCAAAACAAGATAAAATATAGTGGAAAAAACTTGGAAAATCCGTGCCCAATAGGTTTAATGAAAAAAATCTCAAAAGAAAAATTCAAACAGAAAAATGGAATTGTAGACAACAAATGCGACATTGAATCAAGGAACTCAATTGTGTAACAGGTAATTTCGTCGAGGAAACACTGCCTCTGTCGAAGTGTGTCAAAAAAACGAGATTATTGAAGATTAGTAGTCTTTTAATTTATTATGACGATTTTGCGTGGAGGTCGACGTAGTTGGAGGGAAAGAAACAACAACAGAGAAATCCCAACGACAATTGAGTTCTCAAATTTTTTGACCCCCATTTTCCCAGCGAATGGATCAATTTTTCCCCGAATTTTTGGCCACAATTTTTGTTAGTCTTCATCTACTGTCTACTTCACATTTTTTATTATACGCCTCAATGCACTATTGCTCGGGCGCCCTTGCCCCGTTGATCAACGCGCTTCACCTACGTTTCCGTGGTCATCACCACTATGTCAGATCAGTCTTGGATATCCCTCGGGAGAATGTGCATCCAGACGATGCATAACTCGTGTGATAATAGTTATTATTGTTCGCTCAGATATCACGAATTGGTGGTGGAATTTTCATTGACGAAAATTTTATAAAAATGAGTAATGCAAAATAAACAGTTCAGAGACACAGCTTACCTTCAGATGTTGCTGGTTAGTCACACACGCCACCACACGCCTCGCTTCAGTCTTTTCCGCTGGATCATTCACAAAAATCCAGATGCCGCCATTTTTAAATGGCAATGCCATCTCTTGGGTGGTTTCAACAATTTTTACGAAAAAATTGACAATTAATTTATTTTTATTAATTATTCTCGGGGTAAAAACGTGAAGAATTTGAATAAATAATTTTTTTTGTGAAAATTTTAAGGTTTAGGTGATTTATATGGTTAAGGTGGGGTTCGAGTCAAGTTAATGTCCACGTGACTAGGTGAGTCAAAAGCTGTACTATTTTTTTTTACTTACTCAAAATACTTGATCAATAAAATGATTTATTGCATCAATTTTCACAGAAATTCAAATGTTGCCATTTTTAAATGACAATGCTATCTCTTGGGTGGAAAATTTAACCTTAATTAATTTTCATTAATTATTTTTGGAATAAAAACATGAAAAATTTCAAGAAATTATTTTTTTTTGTGACTAAGTGAATCAAAAGCTGTACTATTTATTTTATTTAATCAAAAGTAGATCGATAAAGTGTTTATTGGATCAATTTTCTCACAAAAATCCAGATGCTGCCATTTTTAAATCGCAATGCCATTTATTCTTGGGTGAAAAATTCACCCTTAAGTAATTTTCATTAATTATTTTTGGAATAACAACATGAAAAATTTCAAGAAATTATTTTTTTTGTGAAAATTCTACGATTTTAATGATTTATATCGATATATAGAGGGTTTCAAGTCAATTTATTGTCCCGTGACTAGGAGTGGAAAGCTGTACTATTTTCTTTTATTTAATCAAAATACTTGATCAATAAGATGATTTATTGCATCAATTTTCACAGAAATCCAGATGCCGTCATTTTAAAATGGCAATGATATCTCTTCAACAATTTGCCTGCAAATTTGGAAATTGATTAATTTTCATTAATTATTTTATAGAAAATAAAAAAATTGAAAATTCTAATATTTCTTTTTCTGAAAATTTTACGGTTCAGATGATTTATATCATTAAGGTGGGGTTCGAGTCAAATTAACGTCCACGTGACTAGGTGAGTCAAAAGCCGTCCTGTTTTTTTTATCAAAATGCTTGACTGTGAAGCTATAGATTACTACGGAGTGATAAATTACATTTTTTATTGCACATTAAGAGCCATTTTCAGATGGCCATGCCACTCTCCTTCACCAATTTTCCTGAAAAATTGAAACTTAATTAATTTTAATCAATGCTTTTCAGAATGAAAACATTAAAAATTCTAAAAAATAATTTTTTTGTGAAAATTCCAAAGTTTAGATGATTTATATATCGTTAATTAAGGTGGGTCTCGAGTCAAATTAATGTCCACATGACGAGGTGCGTCAAAACCAGCACTATTTTCTTATTTAAAAAAATCATGCAGAGAAGCCGCGGAGTTTTCCACTAGAACTCTTAAAAACCTAATAAAATTTTGAATAGAAGTTTAATAGAAATTTCTCGCGAATTCGCTAGCTTTTTCTAAAAAACTTTCTCTGCTTTTAAATCGATGACAGCAGTAAGCATGACTAGGGTGAAGCTAGGTGATGTTTACTTATTATCTCTGAATGCATTGGATTCCGTCAACATTGCTGCATATCATATGGTCATAAGAATGTCGTTTTATCAGTTGAACGGGTGCTAGTATTAGTAGTCCAATAGTTCCTACTGTGAGTTTCTAACCTGAATTATATGTCAAAAGACTGACGAAAAGTTGAAAATATATCATGAAACTGCTCTTCTAATTTTCAGTTTCCCAGAATCTTCAAATTCTGTAGATAAAAATGCACATGTGGTTTTGGTTCGGCACTCAACTCAGCCCCTTTCTCCTCCCTGGATACAATGTCACGACGACCTGGGGTGTCGTAGCCACTTGCCTAGGCCTCATAGCCCTGGCCATCACCTACGAGGCCATGAAAACGTTTCAAATAAAAATGCATCAGATGAACAAAGCAGCTCTTGCTGCAAGTGGATCCAGTGCTAGCGAAAACTCATCTCTTTTGTACCATTTAGTGCCTGTAGGTCTCACTGGTAATAGGGGATATCGTTGGTAATTTAGTAATAATTGTTTATTTGTTGTTTCAATTAATTTATAGTGGTGAGACGTAGACAAAAATTTTATATGGGACATTCCGCTGGGAAATTCTATTCACACAAAAAAAAAATTTAATAGAAAAATTTACCGAATTCAGTAGACAGTTCTATTGGGTTTCTATTGAAATTTTCATCAATTTTTAACCCATTCTATTGAAATGGTCGATATAAAATATTCTACAGAAAAAATCAATAGAATTCGATTTTTTTATACAATTTATTCAAAAATTTAATTTTGTTTGGTAATTTGATTTTGTTTGTTTTGTTGTCAATTTTGTTTGATTTTCTTGATGGAAAGAGAAGAAAATTGGAATGAAAAAACTGAGAAAATTTGAGCCGAAGAAATTCTATAGAAATTATTTTTAAATGTTCAATAGAAAACATTATATAGAAAAAAATAGAATTCTATTTTTCTATACACCTTATTCTATCGAGATATTTAGAATTATGTAGAATTCCCTATAGAATTCCCTCGGCTCAGATTATCCAAGTCTTTTTTGTTCTATTTTCTTCATAAAAATTAAAAAAACAGAAAATTTTCCGTCGAGGAAATTCTACGGAAAATATCTCGATAGAATGAGTTGAATGAAAAAACGGAAATGTTCAATTGACTCGGTCAAAAACTAACAGAAAGTTCAATAGAAATCCAATAGAATTGTTTTACAAATTCGCTAAGATTTTCTATTAAATTTTTTTCTTGTGGCATAACGAAGACGAATACTATCGTTTACACTTATTAACGCAGAGGATATTATTATTACTATTAGTAATAATAATATCTGGGGACATTGATTTGCTCGATCTGAACTAGGTTGTGTATGATGCAGCTCTTCGTTTGAAGCCTCGAGCTCCCAGAGTCAGTTCGTTTGAGGCGAAAATGCGGAAAAGAAATGTGTTATAATAATAATAATAATAATAATAATAATAATACTAATATAATATATAATAATATATTATAATATATTATATTATAATATAATATAATATATTATAATGTAATATAATAATATATAATAATATATTATTATTATTATTATTTATGAGATAATTTTGTTGACAAAGTGAAATACAATAGGCTTCCAAAATGGAAAAATAATTCCAATTTATTTTCCAGTCAGGCACTATGTCGATGGTTGATGGAAGTATTTCACTATACAGTTCACGTTACACTTGGATACATAATGATGCTCGCAGCTATGACTTTTAATGGATATATTTTTCTGGCACTGGTAGCGGGTGCTGCTGTCGGTTATCACATTTTCGGACCCACGTTGTTAGCCCTGAATATCAGTGAAGTTCGTCGAAGGTACGAAGACGTGCCATGTGAATCAGAATGCACTGGTAAATACTACAGTCGTAAGGTTGAATGATTGAATAATACACGTTTGGATAGTGGAATGAAATTAATATGAAAATTCAAGTCAAATACTTGTAATCAAGACGTGATGACTTGAGACCTTTTGTTTTCAAATGTGATTTTCTACGCACAGCAAAAAAATTCAGTAGATGAACCTAGCGAATTCGCTAGACAATTCTGTTGGAAGAATTGGATTTTTCTATATAATTTATTCTACTGAGATATTTTCTGTGAAATTTTCTGGGCTTCAAATTTTCCAAGTTTTTTTGGTTGACTAGAACAGGGCGCGCGCTTCGCGCGCGTCTTGTTTTCCATGGTTGCCAGAATAGTAAAACCTTGCCGTTTCTCACTTTCATTAATTTTTATCTCAATAATAATGATAATAATGCAAAAAAAATGAATAGTTTCAACAAAGTTTTTCAGAATGAGAATTTAATTGTTGAATAATTTATTCGGAATCGTTATAATCCTCTTCATCTTCTTCGTTTCTCTCTGCTTTTTACGTTCTTTTTTATTTTTAGAGATGTATTATGTACTGTATACATATATACTATCCTATATATATATTTTTTACAGAACTTAATTTTTTTACAGTTAAAAAAATTACAGTATAAAACATGTATAATATATCTAGTATACTATACTGTATAATATATATATTCTATACATGTATAATATATATATTCTGTACATGTATGCATTTTTTTATAGTACAGAACTGTATTCTATTTTTTTAACTGTTAAAAAAATTACAGTACATAAAAAAGTATATACATAGACGTCACATTACATTACTTGATGAGCGGAATAGAAGCTTCAAAAATCGTTACACTGGATTTTTTTAAAGTGGATTCTTGATGAGAAGAGAAGAAAAATAGAATGGGAAAACTCGGAAAATTTGAGCCGAGGAAATTCTATTGAAAATATCTGAAGAGAATAAGGCATCTAGAAAAATCGAATTCTGTTGAATATTTTCTATTGAGCATTTCAATAAAACCGGCCAAAAACTAATGAAAATTTCAATAGAAATCCAATGGAGTTTTCTAACGAATTCGCCTATTGTATTTCTTCTATTAAATTTTTTCGTGGGGGCGAAATCTGGAATCATTCAGGTCCAGCCATCTTGTCTGAAGGAAGTAAACTATGTACTAGAATTAAGCCTGAAATTACTTGACTCATGATTTTTTTTGTATGTAGTTAAGGGTGCATTTATTAAAGGGTGGGTTTATTTATTTAATAACAGAGTTCATTCCCGTTCTAGGGGGAAATCTAGAGACATCTGAGGGTGGAAGCCAACAGTCCACAATCCCCGCCATTGAGGAGCCAGGGATATCTGAAGTCAATGCAGATGTTCATATTCAATACTAATTCAATACTAGGGAATGTTGAAGACCGTTTCCTGCTCAATTTTAACGAATTCGGACTGATAAAATTAAGTGCTGATACAGTATGATTATCGCAGAGATTTTTAACAGAATGTTTTATATTGACGATTGTTACCTGGAAAAATATAGGTATTGTTTTTACTACAGTTTTTTCTTTCTCACCCTCCGCTCTAGCAAATTACGCAGAGTTTTTAATTGAGGGAAAATTCGGGAGTATATTTACCTGAATTTTCCTCATTTGTGGACGTCCGCATGAAAAGGGACCACTTTGTCGATTCTAGTTTCCGAGATATTCACGTTTTTCTCTTGCCAACTCCCATTTAAACCCATGTTAAATTATTTTGTCGATCTTCTTTAGCGTCGTCACTCTTTACGCTATCAAGTCCATTCTGGGCTCTAAATGTTCAGAATCAGATCAAGATTATGGGAATATACATAACTCCAATAGTGCCAAAGTGGTCCCTTTTCATGCGGACGTCCACATTTATTCTGTTGATTTATGGGAAGTAATTGAACTGGAAGTGACAGTTTTCATTGATTTCTTCATCAAATTGTGAATTTTCAATGATGAGATTACTTGAAATTTCAGTGAAACTGTGACCTTTGATAAAAATTTTCAACAGGTTTTCTGGAAATTAAGACACATGAACAAATGGAATAGGAAAATCTAGTAAATTCGTGAGACAATTCTATTGGATTTCTACTGAACTTCTATTAGTTTTTCCGATTCAAGTTAATAGAATTCGATTTTTCTGTACAACTGATTCTATTGACATATTTTATACAGAATTTCCTCGCTTCAAATTTTAAATTTTTTTCATTCTATTTTTCTTTTCTTCTCATCAAGAAAATGTCATTGAAAATGAAATTCGATGAAAAGTACTCAGTCTCTACTTTTCATGCCCCCGAATTATGGAGTCTGGTCTACTTTTCCGGTATTCTCCATGGCATGGACTATATATAGTTCAGTTTCGCCTTTTCGGGCGAGATAGCGAGACCTCCACGTCCAGTCTCAATAAATTTACAAAGTAAGGAGTGCAATTTTTCCTCGAAACCCTGCGACAATCACTGCACCTCGAGAATTTAGGAATCAAGTCCTGTGCGCCTGATTTTTTCAGAAGAGAAGGGATTGAAAATTATCAGGACTGCGGGACGAAGTGGCGCTCGATGCGCGTCAAACATTAGTATGCCACACAGGAAATTTCGCTGTTCACCTGTCAATTTTTCACTGGTTCCCTTCAATTTTTTACTGATCGCGTGAGGTGGAGCTCCCACACTCGAACTGGCAGACTAAATTCCGACAGATAATTTTTTTCCGATACTTCAAATAGGGCCTAAAATACATCTCAAATGAAAAACACATCTCTAGTACCTGATGTTTATTTTTATGAATAATTCCCCGCGGAAGAATTTATTATTCTGGTGACAGTGTAATTACCACAAGTTTTGTGATTTCCTAAATTATTGCGGTCTGATATATTGACGAAAAACATATGATAGTGTATATCGTCAACTACTTTTGATTCTCGTCTCGCAGGTAACAATGCTAACGTAACCACAAATTGTTGAAGGCAAGAGATCGTACAGTCATGAACGCGTCAAACCCAGAAAACAATTTTTGCCAGTGCCATGTAAAATTTAACAGGACATCGACAATTTGTCGACAAATTGTGAACATGCTGTTTGTTGGGAAAGTCATTGTTTTCATACGTGACATACTTATTTCAAAATCGCTATAATTTGATTAATCAGTTTCGCTAGGGGAGGTTGGGGTAAAATGGATACTTTTGACTTTTTAAAAAATGGTAATGACGGGTTGAAATGTTGATAAAATTTAATAATCTTTCTCTCATTGCAAAGAACAGTTCTTTCCCTTTGTGGTGAGCCTAACCTGAGCTCAATTGATGAATTTGTTTCTGAGTTATGAGTAATTAAAAGAAAAGTCTAGTGTCCATTTTACCCTACTCTCCCCTAATTAAAGGAAATTAATTGAAAAGTAAACAAGTGAGAATCCAGTGTTCCTGTCCATTGGAAATTCCTTATTTTGTGCGCTCTTGGGAAATTTGAGCCGAGGAATTTTTGTAGAAAACATCTCATTAGAATAAGTTATGTAGAAAAAAATCGAATTCTGATGATTCTGATAATTTTTTCTGCAAAAAAATTTCCATTGATAATTTCTATTGAGAAAAGGGCAGTTAAATTGCGGAAATTTTCAATGGAATCTTCAATTTTCCCATAAATGAACTGGTTAACAAAATTTTGATGGATGATTTTTTTGTGATAATTCAAATGGGACCTAAAATATATCTCAAATGAAAAAATACATTTCTAATACCTGATGTTTGTCTCATTCTATCCCCGTCTTTATTTACCATGTTTGTTTATCTCTTGTCACGTATTAAAAAATCGTATAGAAATTTTCTATACGGATTGAGTATAGAATTTCTATAGAATTTTCGTATATGATATTCGGATATTTCAATACGGATATTTTTTATACAAATTATTTCTATACGATTTCTATAGGTTTGATCCTATACGACCCACTGGCATATGTATAGAAACATTTCGTATGGAGTTGCGACATTTCACTACGTTTTTCTCTGGAGCGTTTAGACATCCTTCGTATGAAAACAAAAATTTATGTAAAAATTTATGTATAGAAATAATTCGTATAGAAAATATTCGTATAGAAATATCCGAAAATCATATACGGAAATCCTATCGAATTTCTATGCGCAATCCGTTTAGAAAATTTCTATACGATTTTTTCATACGTGGTTGGTCGAAATGTACATTATACGAATCAATTTGAGGAAATGCGAAGAATCGCCGGAGGTGGGGCTTGAAACCCACGACCCTTAGGTTTCCAGTCTGAGCCTTTACATAAAATCGCTATCCACTCGAAGTACCACCTGATGTTTGTTTATTAATCCGTTCACTAATTGTGGGCATCCACATGAAAAAGGCCCACTTTGTCGGTTTGGAGTTACGTACATTCCGATAATCTCAGTGAGATTCCCCACATTTTGAGCCCAAAATTAACACGATAGGGTAAGCTACCCAGTAGATGGACACTGCCCTATAGACGGACGAGCTACTTTTGAATAGGAAATTACGCAAAAAATACTGAAATGTGAATTGTTGCTTTGAATTTTCACCACTGTTGTGATTCTTAACCCCTGAGTGACGATTTTTTTTCGATCAATTTTTTTTTCAATTGCTAAAAAACAAACGTCCATCTACTGGGCGGTTTTCTGAGGCGTCCATCTACTGGGCAGTTTACCCTAGCATGAAAAATGACGTCGGTATAGAAGACCAAAAAATCAGTTTAACATTGGTTTAAATGGAAGGTGTGAACACAAAAACGTGAATATCTCGCAAAACAAAAGCGACAAAGTGGGCCCTTTTCACGTGGACGTACACAATTAAAGAAAATTAATTGAGAAAAAACAACAAAAGAGAATCTATTGTATACATGAGAATCTATTGATAAAACCTCATTTCAAAAGAAACCCAATATACTTAATTTCTTCTTTCAGTTTTTAGTGTCAAATTTTTTCTATAAATAAGATGTCTCTTCTCATTATTTTTTACCCCCGACGGCAAACCAGAGGGAGGGTAATGCTTTTGGTATATGCTTTTGACGGTCCATAACATGACTCTTCGATATCTGTTTGGACGAAACTACATGAAAAACGATTCAAAAAAATGAATATTTGTATCAGGAATAAAGAGAACATTCCGGGGACCTCAACTATTGAGCCCGATTTTTGATTAAATGCTCCGTTTTCCTACAAAATGCATTATTAATCATCGAGTCTACCAATGACCCGCCCGGCCAACACCTCCCTTTCCAAGAAACCCAATAGAATTCCGCAGTGAAGTGGTAAAACGAAGTAAGTGAATTTAGCTTAGCATGCGTTATCTGTGAATATCTTGTAAAGGAAGGGAGCTAGCGAAATTTTTATGAGACTCTTTTTTGTAGAGCAAAACGTGAGCTACAAAAAAGATTCCGATGAAAATTCCACTACCTCTTGTCATTTACGATTTATTGATCGATAACTGACCCTAGGCAAAATGCATTTGCCTCGTCCTACCACTTCACTACAGAATTAATTTTTCAATCGAAACAATGAGAAGGTCTAAAAAAAAATCGTAAAATCCCAGGTACCATCAGACCTCCGAAAATGGCAGTGGAGCCAATCACATCGCCGGAGCACGAAACCCCCCAGAGTCGTTTCACGCGATACCTCTACGTGGGAAAAGAGTACCCAGTGTACCACTCGGGTTCCTGGTCGAACCCCGCGAATTTCAGTCTGGACAAGCTCCCCTCCCTGGAGGACCTCTCCTCCTCCCCCGAAACCGCGCTCCTCCCCCTCGACAGAATAAAATCCACCTTCGCCTCCGGCGTGATCCACCAGCCCGAAACCCTGATCTTCGCGCTGGCAGCCTCAGCTCGCCAACACAAGAGCGAAAGCCTCCGGCGCGCAGCTTACGAGTACCTCTCCCAGCACTGCAAGAGCCCCGAGCACTTCCTGCTGTTCGTCTCCTTCGCCTCAAAGCTGAGCAGACAGCAGTCGCTCCCAAGACACGGTTACGGCCACGGATGGAGAACAGCAGTGAACGAGTGGTACCTCTCGCAGAGTCCTAAGAGCCTAGCGGAGTGCGTCACCAGATGCAAAAGCAGATACGGCTGGAGCCACAAGGACATCATAAAGCTGTCGCACCCAGTGACGAAGAAATGCCCGGCAGACCTCCAAGCAGTCATCAAATACATCGTCTTTGGTCTGGAGAAAGCGAAACTCGAGTTCGAGAACGAGTCGAGGGCGCAGGAGGTGCTGGAGCTGATGGAGCGAGTCGAGGATTTCAGGCAGTGTCAGGACCCAGTGAGGGCTGCTGGCCTCATCAGAACCCACCATTACACCCTAGACCACGTTCATCCGGACCTGATGAAGTCTCCTGACGTCTGGGAGGCTCTGGTGGAGACCATGGACCTGCCCTCGGTGGTCCACAATCTCCAGAGGATTCAGAATGCTGGACTCCTCGGCGGGGGCTCTCAGGTCTCGGAGAAGATCATCACTGCTCTCATGAGTAAGGAGCAAGTACTGAAGTCCAAGATCAGTCCCTCTGTGTTGCTGCTGGCGGCGAAGACTTATGAGAACCCTGATGGGGTCCCAATGCCTGTGAAGAGGCGCGTTGGGAGGAAGAACAAGCTGAAGCACAAGAGGATTCCCAGACCTGACGGGAGGATCATTGATGCCATGTACTTGGCGCTCAATGTTTCTTTCTCGAATGTCGAGGCGACTGGACTCAAGTATCTGATAACTGTGAGCACTGGGGGGTGGAGGAAGACTCAGGGCGGTCAGGTCGACCTCGTCGAGGCCAATGGCCCATGGGTGGTGGAGGCCGCGTGCATCTTGGCTCTTGGACTGCTCAGGGCTGAGGAGAAAGTTACCGTCTCCACTTTCACTGGGACTGAGGGACTCAATGCCAGGCCTGTTCACATAGACAAGAATGCGACCTTTCAGGAGACGGTGGAGAGGATGAGGGCGAGGTCCACGGGACCACCGAATATTGGGAAGCCCATGCTGTGGGCCGCTCATCACAGGAGGAAGTTCGATGTGTTCATTAATGTCGTGGATAAGATGAGGGAGAAGTACGATTTTACTGGCAGGGCGATGGATCTTTATAAGAAGAAGATGAATCTCCCTAATACGAGGTAGGTTTCGGCGGGGGAGGGGGGATAATAATAGTTCTCTGTAAAATTCTGTGGGAATATTTAATAGAAACACATATTGAATGCGTTAGAAAATTCTGCTGAATTTCTATTGAACTGTTCTAGTAGTTTTGGCCGATTCTGGTGAAATGCTCAATAGAAAGTATTCAGTACCAAAAGTCAATAGAAAAGAATAAGTTATATAGAGAAATAGAATTCGGTTGACTTTTTCTGTTGAATGCTTTCTATTGAACATGTCGATAGAATCAGCCAAAAACTAATAGAAAGTTTATGTAGAAATTCAATAGAATTTTCTAACGAATTTGATAGGTTTTTCTGTTAAATTTTTTCGTGAGTGAAATTGTTTTTTTTTGGGTAGAAACTCGCAACAATTCATCCAAAAATGCGTCCTGAATGAAAATTCTTCATTACTAACCGTTTTAAAGTCTCATTTTATGCACTTACCTCCTTTCACCACTTCACTACAGAATTCATGTAGAAAAATCGAAATGAGAAGTGCGATTTTACTGGGAGGGCTATGGATTTTAATTGGACGACGAATTTTCCTAATAGGACGTAGGGTTTTGGGGGTGACATTGACACTTTTCACTTGGAGAATTTATACCCAAGAATTTCTATAAAAATAATCTTCACAGTATAATTTATTTAAAATAATCAAAATCTCATGACTTTCCTCAATCAAATATTTTATCAATTCAATGAAAAAAATACAGTTAAAAAATTCTAATATAACTCCTATAGAATTCTCAGAGTTTCAATAGGAATTCACTAGCAATTTAACATAATTCTACAAGAAATTTTATTTTTCTTGCTATTCTCTATCGAAAATATCAGTTTTCTCCTATGAATTTCAACAGAAACATTTTATTTAAAAAAACAAACAAAATGATTTCATTTCATTTTTAGATTTCGATTTTCAAAAATAAATTCTCTCATTCAAATTTTCTCTACATAAATTCTTGTGCGCAAATTCTCCTTCTTCATCTCAATAATCTCAATAATTTATGATTTTCAGATTAGTTAATTGGGTCGTTGGCTCCACCTCCACTTACATGGAAGGGAGAAACGTCAGTGACGTTTTAACCGTCTGTGGTTTCGACGTCCACGTCCCCAGGATCATCGAGGCCTTCGCTAGACACCAGTTCTAACTGTCGATCTGCAACCCCTCTGGTTATCTGCATTCAACCCATTTCGATCATCATCAAAATACACAAATAAGGTACAAAAAAGACAGAAGAATCACCGAAAATACCCGAGGATTTTTAGTGAAAGAAAAATTCTGAAATCAGTAGGTCGAAAAAAATTGAATTATGTTCAACCATTCCCAACGAAACTGATGGACAATTGGAATCCATCCATCACGATCTGTCTCTTAAGCTAGAGCAGCTATTTATAGTGTTCCTGATTTTACACATTACTAACACTAGAGTGAAGTCTAGTTAAGCGATAATAATCCTTGCACGGTGCTGGTAGTGTCTTCAGCATGGAAGAAGCAGAATGTTAATTTAGCTACAGTGATATGTTTATTGAATTCACGAGCTAAAAATTGTTCAATGCTTTCTTTTCTTTTCATTGTCATTACTGCAAAGATCAAGAAATGTTGATTGTTTTCATTGTTTCCTGTTGTTTGAGGGAGATTTACGATGGTTTTATGACAGAGGTGTTTACACTGATGAAAATTTGGGACTGAAATTCACTATTTGATGAAAAACTCAGTGGAATTGGTGAATTTCGGTTCAAATATTCCATGAAAATTAACAGACGTCTGGGAAATTTAGGATAGATTTAGCATTAGATACATTCTTGAATTTTGAATCAATTGAATACTCAATGTTTTTTGGTGGGGGAAGGCGAGGGAAAATTAACAGTTTGGACTTTTTTATAAATGTTCTTAATTTAGAAATTAATTTTTATGTGATTGAGTTTGGTGTAGACTCATCACAGAGGGAAAGAATTTCATTTTTTATTTAAAAAATTATGTAATTTTTTTAGTGAATCATTTAAAAAATTACATAATTTGATATTGCATAATTTGTTATTTTATGAAAAATTACATAATTTTTTAAATGATTCAGTGAGTCATTAGAATTGAAAAAAGACAAAAGTCTCCACTGAAAATTGAGAATTCAAATAAGTTAGGGAATCCTGATTTACCACCTGCTCAAAAATTTAGAAGTCCATCGTATTTTGTAAAATTTGTGAAAATGTGAAATTTCGCGTTTTTTTCCTAAATTTAACTCAATGTTTTTTCCTGGAAATTAATACTAAATTTTCCACGAAATTTACATTTTTTCCTGACAGTGTGAGTGTTGAATATCATGTGCTGATATGATTCTCTGTCACCAAGGCGTCGATTGATATTGGACAAAGCTGGATAAAATACTATTAAAAATCTTTATGTTTATTTGATATTTCAGAGTTATAAACACAAAAAATACAATAGTTTTTGAACAGTTATACAAATATTCAGAATTTTCGTTGTGAACAGAAATTCAGTTTTATTATCCTTAAAATACGGAAATAGAACAGGAAATTTCCACTTCATTTACATAAAAAAGTGTTCAGCTCTGGCATTGGTATCAAAACATTAATAATGATGTATCAAACAGGCGTGTAATTAGACGATAATTGTAAGTACGAAAAAATTTCATAGAAAAAATCTAGCAAATTCGCGGCGAAATTCTATTGAAGTTTCTATTCATTTTGGCCAATTCTATTGAAAAATTCCGCACTTTTCACATTTTTTTCAATTCTCTTGAACTACTGTACTTCTCATGAAAAAAAATATCCCGTAACTAACAATTCAACATGTTATCAACATTTCAAAAAGGTCAGAAGTGTCCATTTTGCCCCTCCTGCCCCTAGAAAATGCCTCAATTCAAAAAATTGTGTAAAAAGATAAAAATCAGCTAATTTTTTCTATTAAAAAATTTCTATTGAACATTTTTTATAAATAAAACGTGCAGTAGAGCTGTAGAAATCTTTGACAGAATCCACCAAAAACTAATTGAATTTCCACTGGAAGTTCAATGAATTTTCTCTCGAATATCTCAATAGAATAAGTTGTATAAAAAAATTGAATTCTATTGATTTTTTCAATAAAATATTTTCCATTTTATTTCTAAAATAAAATAGAAAGTATTTTATTTTATTTTCTAACTCTGAAGTTTGAATCGGCCAAAACCTAATAGAAAGTTCAATCGAAATCCAATAGAATTGTCTAGCGAATTCACCGAGTTTTTCTCCGAAATTTTTTCGTGCGTCTGCTAGAATAATTAGTTTAATTGAAGGTCTCTAACTCCAATGAAGGGTCCATCTATGTAACACAAGGGGATAATTGCATTTTCTTCATTTCGAATATAGTTATTCCGCTTTTGAACGCATAGTTTTATACGACTTTTTAATCACGCAAGGCCATAATTCAGGATCTTACAATGAAATGCTCATTCCACCAATTTGAATTCTGGAAACCAGGCATTTGACACAATTTCGTGATCTAGTTCAATGTACAAGTGAATGTGAATGAGTGATAAAAATCTCTGACAAGAAAAACTGATGAAAATTTCTACAACTGTGATATTCAATTAGCTCCAAAGAGTTTTTAGACTTACATTTCGTTCAATTCTATCGATAAATCTGGATAGCCGCATCTGAAGTAACGAAAAAAACATGACTGGGCATAAATAACTAAATTAAATATTGTTCAAATACTGTGATATTACAGTCAAAGTTTATCGTAACCGAGGAAAACCGAGTGTTTGAGTAACAGGAAATCCAAATCATGATAACAGCCGGATATGTTGATCAATGAATTATTATTCGATAGGATTGAACGACAAAGAATCTGACGAAAAACCCCAGAAATATCTGAACGATGAAAAAATTAATCTAAAGTTAATGAAATACATTGTTATTTACGTTCCGTTTGTTGCATAATAACAATAAATTTTTACTCGTTTGTAATGATAATTGAGTGTTTACACACATACAAATAACAAAAAAAGAATACACGTGAGAATGTTTTTTACTGTGAAGCCCTTTCAATCAATCTATTCCCTATTATTCTTTTCAATTTTATGCCATTCGATTTATTTCCATTTTCACAATTTTGGTTTCATGACGAATAAACACGAAGACGTTTGAACACGACAATTGAACACAAAACCTATTCAACAACACAATAAATTACCATTTTTTCATTATCGTATACCTCTCGATTTTTTTTACGGATTTTTACTTTTTCCAGCAGCATATTAATTCCTCATGCTTCTTCCATCTTTCGAAAAATTCAAACTCTTCCAGAGGTGTTCCCTCGCGGCCACCCATCCTTCTAGTGACCACGCTCAGCGCAGCTTAGCTTCCCAAAGCTAAGCCGGCCCACCACCGCCGTACGCTGGCCCCGAAGGGCCGCCATATTAAATTAATCGGATATTTGAACACACAATCGTCTTCATCGCACTTTATTCAACAACAAAAAATTCGATAAACTTAATAACTCATATTTAATCCTTGTTACATAGCATCATCCTCATCATAATTTAATATTATGTGCAATCAAACAAAAAAATAAACTGGAGCGCCATTTTGAAGGGCGCAAGGCCAAGGCTAATGTGCCCATCGCACTGATTAAACGTTGATTGCCCACACGGAGAGAAATATTCAATAAAAATTACGTATCTTTATAGAAAATTTTACGGAACTGTCACGTAATTTTTACCTAAAATCACGGAATTTTTCCAGAGTCTTCCCTAATTTATATCTGAATCTCCTGTGAAAAATTGCGATACCGTCACTTAAATTTTCTGAGTCGATACCGTAATCGGTGAGCGAACCGAGTTCCATAATTTTTACTGAACATTCCTCTCCGTGAAATATACGATTAACCTGGGCTTTTCTTCATATTATAAGTGGGGGCTATAAACATCGATTTTCTGGGTTATTATTATTACTTGGAGAATTCCTTTTTTGTCTGTTTACGTCTGACCCCAAACAGAGAAAATGAGAGAAAAAGGTTGTTTTTGTATAAAACGAGAATGATTGGAATTAAACCGGTTTAGTAGGAAATTTTGAATAAATTTGTCTTTTGATTATTGGTGAATTTCCCTGTGTTGAATTCAAATTACGATTAGACGCAACCCACACAAAAAGCCCCCCAATAATACCAAAAAAGTTCATTTTATTGAAAAAATTCTTTATTATCGTGATACTGTTACATGTAATCACATCACACAAATCTCATTTACTCTCATGTATACAAAAGAATGAATTAATGTATCGCTAACAGACGTCTCTCCATCACACGTGAAATTTATCTCTCCTCACTCACCAAAAAGACTCACTGCATATGAGAACGGTTGAAGTTTCGCTTCATGAAATTATATATAAAACAGTTAATTGCAGTTTAATAAATTAAACGAGAAGTCCCGCGGAATTCCCAGTGGCTGATAATCCCCTGAAAATTCCCCAAGCCCCTCCCATCGTTTCCTATATCTTCCCCCCAGTGTCGCGAGCAAAACCGTCGATGTCACACGACCAGAAGGAACCGTATCCTAACGATGGCTGACCCCCAGAATCACCAAGAATGCAGGAACAGCACAAATGATTCCAGAGGCCACCGACCCCACCAGGAAGCTATAATTATTGCATTAACAAAAGTTCAGTCTGAGATACACTAGACAAATTCAATAATAATCGAAATCTGTCATTTATAGCTCGTCCTTAAGATCATCCTCCTCACTGCCAGTCGGTGGTGGTGCCCCACCAGCCCCTTGATAAAGCTTAGAAATAATCGGCTGAACAATATCCGTCAACTCCTTCTTCTGCTTCTTGTACTCCTCAGGGTCAGTGTCCTGATTGTCCTCCAGCCACTTGATCTTCTCATCAATGGCCTCCTCCATCTTCGTCTTGTCCTCATCACTGAGCTTAGCCCCAAGTTTCTCCTTATCAGCCAGCTGATTCTTCAAAGAATAGGCATAAGACTCGAGCTCATTCCTCGCCTCCACTCGCTCCTTGAGTTTTTTGTCCTCATCAGCAAACTTCTCAGCATCCTTGATCATCCTGTCAATGTCGTCAGGCGTCAGTCTGTTCTGGTCATTGGTGATGACGATCTTCTCCCTGTTTCCAGTGCCCTTGTCCTCAGCTGACACCTGGAGAATACCATTGGCATCGATCTCAAAGGTCACCTCAATCTGAGGGATTCCCCTGGGCGCTGGGGGAATCCCAGTGAGATCGAACTTTCCAAGAAGATGATTGTCCTTCGTCATTGGTCGTTCACCCTCGTAAACCTGAATGGTGACAGTGTGCTGGTTGTCAGAAGCTGTCGAGAATATCTGCGACTTCTTCGTGGGAATGACAGTATTCCTTGGGATGAGCTTAGTCATGACTCCTCCAACAGTCTCGATACCCATGGTCAAGGGATTAACATCAAGAAGAACAATGGCATCAGTGTCCTGTTCCCCAGAGAGAACGCCAGCCTGCACAGCAGCGCCGTAAGCCACAGCCTCGTCAGGGTTGATGCCTCGAGAGGGCTCCTTACCCCCGAAGAACTCTTTCACCAACTGCTGAACCTTGGGAATTCTCGTCGATCCTCCCACCAGGACGATCTCGTGCACATCCTTCTTGCTCATGTCAGCATCGTCCAGGACCTTCTGCACGGGCTTCATCGTGCTGTGGAAGAGGTCCATGTTCAACTCCTCGAATTTAGCTCTCGTCAGGGTCTCTGAGAAGTCCTCGCCATCGAAGAACGACTCGATTTCAATCCTCACTTGGTGGCTGGCACTGAGAGCACGCTTTGCCTTCTCCACTTCACGACGAAGCTTCTGGACAGCTCTGTTGTCCTTCCTGATGTCCTTGCCCTTCTTCTTCTTGTAGAGCTTGATGAAGTGGTCCATCACTCGCTGATCGAAGTCCTCACCACCCAGGTGGGTGTCTCCGTTAGTGGCCACCACCTCGAAGACTCCATTGTCGATCGTCAAGAGACTCACGTCGAAGGTGCCACCACCAAGATCGAAGACCAGGACGTTTTTCTCACCGTCTTTCTTGTCGAGACCGTAGGCAATTGCTGCTGCTGTTGGCTCGTTGATGATTCTCATGACATTCAGACCGGAGATTGTCCCTGCGTCCTTGGTCGCCTGACGCTGGGCGTCGTTGAAGTAAGCTGGCACTGTCACGACGGCGTGGGTGACCTTCTTGCCTAGATAGGCTTCAGCTGTCTCCTTCATCTTTCCAAGGACCATTGCCGAGATCTCCTCCGGGGCGAAGATCTTCTCACCCTCTTTCGTGGACACCTTTATGTGCGGCTTTGAGTTCTTCTCGACTACTTTGAAGGGGAAGAACTTGGCGTCGTTCTGCACCGTTGGGTCGGACCATTCACGACCGATCAAACGTTTTGCGTCAAATACGGTGTTCTCCGGATTTGTTGTCAGCTGGTTCTTCGCGGCGTCGCCGATCAGACGCTCACCGTCAGCTGTGAACGCCACGTACGAGGGCGTTATCCGGTTTCCTTGGTCGTTGGCGATTATCTCCACTCGGCCATTCTTGTAGACGCCGACGCTGGAATTTAAGGGGGATTTTAGAGAGGGTGAGACAGCGGTGCGCGGCCAGGGTCAAGGGAATCATGGGATTTTTTTATCCAGTAAAGATATCCAGGCATTTTTTACATTTTTTTTTAGATTCAACCATTTTAGATCTGTATTATCCCCTGGGCTATTCTACACGGTTAAACCTTAGATGTTTTTTAAGGCATAAATTACTTGGAAAGCGGGATGCTATATGCTATCCGTCGACTTTCCGGACCTCTATATGAGGGAAATAATTGAATAATTATCAATGCACAAATTAAAAAATTCCGAGGCACACGGGCTCGAACACAAGTGGGGTATGATCCCACATCTTCCGTTTGCCGGACAGGTGCTCTACTTTTTTTTTATTAACAATGTTTTTATTTATATAACAAGCATTATTTACAGTATTTACATTTATAAAAACTAAGTCTAAAAAAAATTGATGAACAGTATTGAATTAGTGAAAACTAATGGCCAATTAGCGGCTCTCGAGTTTTGTCTAATATGGAGATTTAGATCTCTATTTTGGTGAAAAACATGTTAGATATTATACAATAATTTTTACACATTATCATATGCGGACTGTATTTGTTTCTTTTAATACTGTGCCCAAAAAAAAGAAAAAAAAGGAGTATATTTGATTTGCTGAAATTGTTTTTTTTTAAAGGCGACAGGTGCTCTACCAATTGAGCTATTGTGGCCTCCTCTGCATCTCCGAATTTCAGAAATTGTGCATATCAACCATTTTAGAATCACCCATTTTCAATAATCAAATGTGTTAATTAAATTGCGTGAGAAAATTTGGAAGAAATCATAAATATCAGCGTCATTCATAATAAATATTTTGCACAGAATTATCATTTTTTTAAACATTCGTTGTTTATAAATAAATAATTGAAATTGTTTGAACTTTCGAAAATTGCTGGTAAAATTATGAATATGTGAAAAATGTGAAAAATGTTTTCCACATAATATTCAACTGAAAATTCAACACAATTTTCAAACCGAATATTCCACGGAATTTTCAACTGAAAAATCCACTCCACATTCAACATTCCCTGGCTGAAGGCCCTCGGGCGATGGCCGCGTTGGCAAGTTAACCCTTGCAACGAAAAACCGGTGAAATTTGAAATTTGTGAAAAATGCATTGTTTATCGAGCATTTATTATTAATTTATTATTAATTTTTTGATGGAATTCCAATAGAATTCTTATAATGCTCTAACAGAAATTTCATAGGATTTCTTGAACAAAGGACTGTCTGAACTCTAGCTAGGGGAATTCCTCTGATTCTTCCGGAAAAATGTTGCAATTTCTCTCAGCTTTTGAAGTATTTGGCAAAAAGCCGATAGATAAATGAGAAAACAAGATGAGTAAACTATAAGTAAAGTCCAGTGTTCGTTAAACATATTGAAATCCAAGAGACCAAATTTTCACAAGGACTTTGTGATTATTTTCTATAAAAACTTTTCCATCTCTTTTACATCCCAAGATGTTGAACTAAAACTGATTTCTGGGTGGAGTTGACCGCTGAAGTAAAGTGTTTTAGTTACTTACCATGAGTATGTTGTTCCCAAATCAATACCGATGACAGTTCCGATGTCTTCTTTCTCTTTCTTCTCGTCTTTAGCTGTAGCCAGTAAGGCTAGCAGCCCTATTACCATAAACGACAGAGCTCCTTTCATGTTTGTTCTCTCTCTCTTTATCTGTAAATCGAACAATTTAACANTTCAATATTTATTTTGATTGAAAATGAATATTTCAGTGAAATGTCAAATCTCATAATTTCTCTCTTAAAAATTACTACCGAATTTTCCGTTAAATTTAATTTTTTTCTAATAGTGCATGTCACATATGTGAAATTGATTCATTAATTTCGATAAAAGACACAAAAATAAGGACCCAACTATTAAACTCTCATATCTCATCAATTCAAAATTAATAAAAGACGAGCAAAAAATGTAAAAATGTCACATGGACCGTAAAGAATAATTACTTCTGCTCGAAACTGAGATTCATGGAGTCATCACCTCCCTACGTTGGGTTATAATATTCTAGGAGCTTCGAGTATGTCTCAGTCCTCTCCCAGGGAATTGTAATCATGCCCTTTATGACTAAGAATAAAGGTCAGTTCAGTTCAGTTTTCTCAAGAACTGAATCCACGACTCAACAACTCTCTATTTTTCCAAAAACCCACGAGATTTGATTACCGGCATGCCGAACCCACCGACAGATTGAGAAATTTCTCGTACCTAATTAGATTTCCCAAACAAATGTCACCGACTGCATAAAAAAATTCACTCGTTCAACTCAAAAAAACGAAAGCTATTATTCAACAAATACTGTTCAACTCCCTGAATGAAAATTTGAGAATGAAACAACGGGAAATATAACGGTAGAGGAATACGTGGCACTCTTAGAATTTTTGGAGCAAAAATGATCGTCTCAATTCCAATATTTCAGGTGAAATTTTTGTCACGTGCTATTGCCACTGAATTTTCGAGTAATTTTGTATTTGAAAATTTACAATTTCATGAGAAAATCAACAGAAATTATAAAATCTAGGTGAAATATACTCTTGAATTCATTAATTTAGTATTCAATATTTATTTTGATTGAAAATGAATATTTCAGTGAAATGTCAAATCTCATAATTTCTCTCTTAAAAATTACTACCGAATTTTCCGTTAAATTTAATTTTTTTCTAATAGTGCATGTCACATATGTGAAATTGATTCATTAATTTCGATAAAAGACACAAAAAAAAGGACCCAACTATCAAACTCTCATATCTCATCAATTCAAAATTAATAAAAGACGAGCAAAAAATGTAAAAATGTCACATGGACCGTAAAGAATAATTACTTCTGCTCGAAACTGAGATTCATGGAGTCATCACCTCCCTACGTTGGGTTAGAATATTCTAGGAGCTTCGAGTATGTCTCAGTCCTCTCCCAGAGAATTGTAATCATGCCCTTTATGACTAAGAATAAAGGTCAGTTCAGTTCAGTTTTCTCAAGAACTGAATCCACGACTCAACAACTCTCTATTTTTCCAAAAACCCACGAGATTTGATTACCGGCATGCCGAACCCACCGACAGATTGAGAAATTTCTCGTACCTAATTAGATTTCCCAAACAAATGTCACCGACTGCATAAAAAAATTCACTCGTTCAACTCAAAAAAACGAAAGCTATTATTCAACAAATACTGTTCAACTCCCTGAATGAAAATTTGAGAATGAAACAACGGGAAATATAACGGTAGAGGAATACGTGGCACTCTTAGAATTTTTGGAGCAAAAATGATCGTCTCAATTCCAATATTTCAGGTGAAATTTTTGTCACGTGCTATTGCCACTGAATTTTCGAGTAATTTTGTATTTGAAAATTTACAATTTCATGAGAAAATCAACAGAAATTATAAAATCTAGGTGAAATATACTCTTGAATTCATTAATTTAGTATTCAATATTTATTTTGATTGAAAATGAATATTTCAGTGAAATGTCAAATCTCATAATTTCTCTCTTAAAAATTACTACCGAATTTTCCGTTAAATTTAATTTTTTTCTAATAGTGCATGTCACATATGTGAAATTGATTCATTAATTTCGATAAAAGACACAAAAAAAAGGACCCAACTATCAAACTCTCATATCTCATCAATTCAAAATTAATAAAAGACGAGCAAAAAATTTAAAAATTTCACATGGACCGTAAAGAATAATTACTTCTGCTCGAAACTGAGATTCATGGAGTCATCACCTCCCTACGTTGGGTTAGAATATTCTAGGAGCTTCGAGTATGTCTCAGTCCTCTCCCAGAGAATTGTAATCATGCCCTTTATCACTAAGAATAAAGGTCAGTTCAGTTCAGTTCTCTCAAGAACTGAATCCACGACTCAACAACTCTCTATTTTTCCAAAAACCCACGAGATTTGATTACCGGCATGCCGAACCCACCGACAGATTCAGAAATTTCTCGTACCTAATTAGATTTCCCAAACAAATATCACCGACTGCATAAAAAAATCCACTCGTTCAACTCAAAAAAACGAAAGCTATTATTCAACAAATACTGTTCAACTCCCTGAATGAAAATTTGAGAACGAAACAACGGGAAATATAACGGTAGAGGAATACGTGGCACTCTTAGAATTTTCGGAGCAAAAACTGTGGCCTCAGACTCTCCAAAAATTCCAATAATCTACTTGAATAAAAAATCGTAATTAATTGGAGAGAGTTCTATTTACCGATTGAATTAATATTCTTCACGTAGAAACGGTGAAATAAATTCACAGACGACAAAAGTCACTTTAACTTGAACACTTGACTCGTACGGTGTGTGGTATCTAACTGACTGCTGAGTGAATTCAGCGCTGAGCATATTAACGGGCCGATTTCGGCGTGGCCTGCTCCCATTGGCTGAAGTGGCGACGTGGCAACGGAAATATCAGCGCTGATTCGAGAGTGAGACAACCGGTGTCCGCACCCCATTGGCCCACGTCTGCTGGATTATCCGGGAGTCGAAAGAAATTTCGAGAGGACTCGAGAGATGTTTGTGGGTGACGATAATTTTTTATGCAACAATTTCTCAAAATTTATTTTTTCGGGAAGATTTATCTGAGCGGTGGTGATACTGGGAGGCGGGTGCATCATTGATTATTGCTTGGGATGAGTCGAGATTGTCTCGCGGGAATGGTGAGGTTTGAGGTAATAAATTTATCAACAATTCTAGGCACAACTTCGGACAAGTGATGATTTTGAACTCTAGGAATACAAGAGATGTTTTTGGAACTGGCGGGTAATTTTGTTGGGAATTTCTTCAAATTTATTTCTTGAAATAGAATTAAGCTGAGGGTCGATTATGTGGGTGGGGAATAATTTTTTATGCAATTTTTTGTAGGGGCAGGTGGGGTAAAACGGACGCTTTAGATTTTTTTAAATTATTCATAACTTAGAAACAAATTGATGAATTGAGCTCAGTTCAGGGTCGTCATGAAGGGAAAGAATTGTTCTTTGTATTGAAAAACAAATTATTAAATTTTATGAACATTTCAACCTCTTATTAACATTTTTTTTAAAGTCAAAAGTGTCCGTTTTACCCCAATCTCCCCTACGTTAAGTTTGAAAAATTTTGTTTTTTCAATTTAAATTAAAACTTATTTTTTTGATAAAATTAATCTGAGAGTCGATAATATTGGGAAGTGCAACATTAATTAATGCTCTGGGTAATTCAAGTTTATCTCCAGGGAATGATGAGGGTTGATGTAATTCGAATAATTTATTAACAATCCTAGGCACAACTTTGGACAAGTAATGATTTTGAACTCTAGGAATACAAGAGATGTTTTTGGAACTGGCGGGTAATTTTGTTGGGAATTTCTTCAAATTTATTTCTTGAAATAGAATTAAGCTGAGGGTTAATTATGTGGGTGGGGAATAATTTTTTATGCAATTTTTTGTAGGGGCAGGTGGGGTAAAACGGACGCTTTAGATTTTTTTAAATTATTCATAACTTAGAAACAAATTGATGAATTGAGCTCAGTTCAGGGTCGTCATGAAGGGAAAGAATTGTTCTTTGTATTGAAAAACAAATTATTAAATTTTATGAACATTTCAACCTCTTATTAACATTTTTTTTAAAGTCAAAAGTGTCCGTTTTACCCCAATCTCCCCTACGTTAAGTTTGAAAAATTTTGTTTTTTCAATTAAAATTAAAACTTATTTTTTTGATAAAATTAATCTGAGAGTCGATAATATTGGGAAGTGCAACATTAATTAATGCTCTGGGTAATTCAAGTTTATCTCCAGGGAATGATGAGGGTTGATGTAATTCGAATAATTTATTAACAATCCTAGNCAATTTTTTGTAGGGGCAGGTGGGGTAAAACGGACGCTTTAGATTTTTTTAAATTATTCATAACTTAGAAACAAATTGATGAATTGAGCTCAGTTCAGGGTCGTCATGAAGGGAAAGAATTGTTCTTTGTATTGAAAAACAAATTATTAAATTTTATAAACATTTCAACCTCTTATTAATAACATTTTTAAAAAAAGTCAAGTGTCCGTTTTACCCCAATCCCCTACGTTAAGTTTGAAAAATTTTGTTTTTTCAATTTAAATTAAAACTTATTTTTTTGATAAAATTAATCTGAGAGTCGATAATATTGGGAAGTGCAACATTAATTAATGCTCTGGGTAATTCAAGTTTATCTCCAGGGAATGATGAGGGTTGATGTAATTCGAATAATTTATTAACAATCCTAGGCACAACTTTGGACAAGTAATGATTTTGAACTCTAGGAATACAAGAGATGTTTTTGGAACTGGCGGGTAATTTTGTTTGGAATTTCTTCAAATTTATTTCTTAAAATAGAATTAAGCTGAGGGTTAATTATGTGAGTAGGGAATAATTTTTTATGCAATTTTTTGTAGGGGCGGGTGGGGTAAAACGGACACTTTAGACTTTTTTAAATTATTCATAACTCAGAAACAAATTGATGAATTGAGCTCAGTTCAGGGTCGTCATGAAGGGAAAGAATTGTTCTTTGTATTGAAAAACAAATTATTAAATTTTATGAACATTTCAACCTCTTATTAACATTTTTTTTAAAGTCAAAAGTGTCCGTTTTACCCCAATCTCCCCTACGTTAAGTTTGAAAAATTTTGTTTTTTCAATTAAAATTAAAACTTATTTTTTTGATAAAATTAATCTGAGAGTCGATAATATTGGGAAGTGCAACATTAATTAATGCTCTGGGTAATTCAAGTTTATCTCCAGGGAATGATGAGGGTTGATGTAATTCGAATAATTTATTAACAATCCTAGGGACAACTTCGGACAAGTGATGATTTTGAACTCTAGAAATACAAAAGATATTTTTGGAACTGGCGGATAATTTTGTTGGGAATTTCTTCAAATTTATTTCTTGAAATAGAATTAAGCAGAAAATCAATGTGTGGGTGGGGAATAATTTTTTATGCAATTTTTTGCAGGTCAAGTTTGAAATTTTCTTTCAATTTAAATTAAAAGTTATTTTTTTGATGAAATTAATCTGAGAGTCGATAATATCGGGAAGTGGGTGGTGCATCATTAATTAATGCTCTGGGTAATTCAAGTTTATCTCCAGGGAATGATGAGGGTTGCTGTAATTCAAATAATTTATTAATAATCCTAGGTAGAACTAGGGGCGAGTGATAATTTTGCTGTTCAATTCTAGAAATCCAAGAGATATTTTTGTGGGCGACACGTGATTTTTTATGTAATCTCACCAAATTTATTTTTTTGACAAAATTAATCTGAGAGTCGATGAGATTGGGAGATGGGTAATGGATCATTGTCGCATGGGATGGTGAAATTTAATTTTGAGGGGTTAATGAAGTTTGATGTAATTCAAATTTATTAGCACTCCCAGGCAGACATTGTGACATGTGATGATCTCGTTTTTTAAATCTAATAATATCGGATTGAATGCAATTTGTTCTAGCCATGTCTCAGCTCGATTTGTGCAGAAGACATTTTTTAAAATTTCATATATTTCTATTTAAGTACTATTTACAAAGTTTCTCAGTTGTCCCGCTAACACCACCTTTCCGATAATCTGTAAAATTGAAGGAACTTCACTATAAATTTTAACCCGTACGAAAAACATTTCATAGAAAAACCTAGCGAATTCACTAGAAAATTGAACTTTCTATTCGTTTTTAGCCGATTCTGCTCATTTTTTCTCTAGAATAGTTTCTATTCGACATTTCTCTGACATTTTTAGTCGTAACCCTGCGGAACTCTCCAGTAGAATCAGCCAAAAACTGATGGGATTTTCAATAGAAATCTAATAGAATTTTCTGTCGAATTCTCTAGGTTTTTCTATGGAATTTTTTCGTACGTTTCAACGAGGTGAATGTCCCAGAACCTGACTGTTTCACAAGCCAGGGTTTTTTGACTATTCAGCATATTTTCCGAGTCTTGCAATTCATCATTCGGTACCACATTTTGGCAGGCCATTAAGAGAAACAAATTGCTACCCACAAATTCCATTTTTTTGCCAGTTCAGCTACTGAATCTGAGTGTTCAACTTTCGGGACATTCATCTTAAATAGTTTATTTAAAAAAGTCGATGGATGTTGATTTTTCATGCTTTCAACTTATTCTTCTGCAATTGTTTCCGAATTTTTTGGCCACGAGTTTCTTTACACCAATTAATAAAAAAGAAAATTACTGGAAAAAAAATGGGAAAAATCGGAATTCTTCGGAGCTCGCAGTCCTGTAGATGCAGACTGCACTGTTGAATCATGAATTCTCCAAGTTTATCTTTTTTGAATTTGTAATTCCAAAAACGGTGGAAAACATTCCAGAATACCTCCCCAACAATTTAAAAAGAAAATCTCAAAAATGATTCATTTAGAAAAATTAAAATCTTTTAATTTCGAATTTGAATAAAAAATCTGTCAAATTGTCAAGAAGCGAACAGAAGTCTCAATAGAATTCTCACTACTGATTAGAATTCTCCACTACTGAATTCATCAATTGGTGACCGAAAATCCCCAGAAAAAATACGTACATTGTTTTTAAAAATTTGGGTACTTCATAGTCTACTCCGAGTGTGAATCATCTCCAAGATTAGTGGAGTGAAGTACGTGATGATGCAGTCAGCCCCGGCTCTCCTCATGGATAGGAGAACCTCGTGTAAGACACTTTTAAGATTGATAGCGCCGTTCTTGGCTGCGTGGTACAGCATTGCGTATTCCCCGGATACTTGGTAAATGAACATCGGGTGATGGGGATGGGCTTCTTTGGTGACCCTGACGACGTCTAGATATGCCAAGCCTGGTTTTACCATTATCATGTCGGCACCCTCAGCCACGTCCCTCTCCTATGATGAACAAACACCTCTTTATGTAGAAAAAATACTTGATGATGAGGGAATCCAACGAATCGAGAAAATATTAACATTCAGGGATTTAGAGATGTCAAAACTCCTTTCAAGAATTGATTTTATATTTAAAAAATTAACAAATGTGTCATATTCTGTGGATCTCACAGATTATGTCAATCATGTTGTTCAGAAATAATTAAATCAGATGAGGATTTTTGGCAGAATTCATGAACTTTAAAGAAACTCCGTTATTAAAAAAATATAATTAAATAAAAAAATCAGTGGAAACTGTAAATACCCGTTTAGTTATTTAACGAAAATTAAAAGTAATCCGAGAAATTCAGAAAAATATATTTTTTAATTTTCAATTCATTGATAAATCTGCGTAATTTGGTACTCAGTTAATTTTTTTATCGAAAATTCCAGAAATTTGAAGAATTCTCGTCTCTTTGCTGCTCAAAAATGAAGAATTTCTTTAAAATTTGAACAAAATCTGAAATAACAATGTTTTTTTTTCTAAAGGTTCATATCCTTTATAATAATTTTCTAAAATTGATTTTGTGAGTACTAAAATCTATTCTATTGATTTTGTGAGTATAATTCATCGAACAGCTGTGTAACTTTCATATTTTCAATTTTTCTTGCCATTATTCAGAATAAAATTCCCATTATCAAACCCTCAAATTTGGAAATCTGCATAATCAGGGGACAATGTAGGGAATGTTATCTTACAGCAGCTCTGGCAGCTAATCCCACACTGCCAGGGGGTAACTGATAGCTCTGCCTATCACCGAATTTCGGCGCTGACTTGGAGGCATCGCGAAAAGGCCCATAAAACCCAGATGCGAATTTTACGGAGTAAGATAACACTGCCACTCTGTTATCAAATCCCTCTTTCGACAGAGCCTTTTTTATCGCACCGATTCGTCCGTCCATCATATCTGATGGAGCAATAATATGTGCACCTAGAAAAATATCAATGAATTCACCTGATTCGATTCCATTTCTCGATCGTTTCGTCATTTTTCGATCATCTATATCAAATCCAGTGGAAAATTTTCTCGATAAAAAAATTATCATCTAGATTTCAATTGAAAATGTCAAGTAGAAATTGTTTTATAGATGAAATAAGTAGAATTTTATGTTTCTGTATAACTCATTTTATTGAGATATTTTCTATAGAAAATAGATATGATATATTTCTAATCATAGATTTTCAGTGTTCTTTAGTGAATTTTTTTTTTCCTATTGAAAAATCAAACAAAAAAACTTGGCCGATTTAAACCGAGGAATTTCGACAGAAATTTTTTCAAAAGAATAAAGTTTATATAAAAATGAAATTCTATCATTTTTTTCTATTAAATATTCTATATTGAACATTACTTTAAAAAACTAGAAATTCAATGGATTTTTTCAGCAAAAGCCCTAGTTTTTTTCTAGAATTTCTCCGTACATGAAATCTAACATGCAAAAGTGTAGAGATGGATAATTTAAGCCGAGGAATTTCAACAGAAAATATAATGGAATATTAAAAAAAAAAATTCTATTGAATTTATCTATAAAATACTTTCTATTGAACTTGACAACTTGAAGAAAACTATTTTTTTAGTAAAAGCTCTAGGTCTTTCGATGCAATTATTCCACAAATAAAGAATTTAGAATTCATTATTAATTAAAATGAAGATATCAATTAAAACAAAAGGGTAGAGATGGTCAATGTTAAAGTGAAATGATGACGAAAGGAGTAATGAGAGCATGATACTGTCTCACCAGCTCGACTGTATGCCACGGAAATCTCAGCAATTCTCTGGATACTCGATTTATTATCTATTAAGCCATCATCAGTGAGGATCCCACAATGTCCGTGGCTTGTATAAGGACACAGGCATACATCGCAAGCAATTACTAAGTGCGGAAACCACTTTCGCAACTGGGGCAATGCCTGGACTATTGGATTACTCGGGCTGTCAGCGTTAGTTCCCAGAGGATCCTTCAAATATCGATTGTTTTTTTGAATTGATTATTTTTTTAATAAAAAATTCTATTTGTTTTGTGAGCCATTTTTACGGGAAATTGTGCAAGTTTAACGTCTCGTTTTGGTAAGGGATATTTGATGGGAAAAAAAGCCAATTTCCTCGACTCAAATTTTCCAAGATTTTTTCATTCCATTTTTCTTTTCTTTTCTTTTCATCAAGAAAATCAAACAAAACACTTGGAAATTCGATAGACAATACGTCATTTAAATAATTTGTACAATTTGTAAATCAAATTCTATTGATCTTTCCTATAGACTATTTTCCAACACGAAAACGGTGGTTTTTTTTATAATTCTAATAGAACTCTAATGGAATTGTCATAGAATTCCAATAGAAATTCAATAGAAAATCCAATGGAATTCTATTGAATTGAAATTCAATAGAAAATTCAATTGAATTCAATTTTTCTAGATAATTTATTCTGACACATTTTCTATAGAATTTCTTCGACTCAAATTGTCCAAGATTTTTTCATTCCATTTTTCTTTTCTTTTCATCAAGAAAATCAAACAAAACACTTGGAAATTCGATAGAAAATACCTCATTTAAATAATTTGTACAGAAAAATCGAATTCTATTAATCTTTTCTATAGACTATTTTCTATAGAAAATGGGCCAAAAACAAAGAAAGTTCAATAAAAATCCAATAGAATTGTCTAGTCAATTCTCTAGGTTTATCTATTAAAATTTTTCACACGTGATTATCAATTTCCCCATTTTACACGATTTATCTATTCTAAATAAAATGAACCGTTACCTTAAATTCATTGTTAATAACTCCGAACAGTAATACAGACTTCAGCCCTTTAGCTACCAACGGCTCCAGCGTCAATTTCAATTGATTTATCCCGTATCTAAATATTCCTGGCATACTGGATATCTCGTCTCTAGCATCGGGTTCATCCCTGAACCAAAAATTGACGATTGATGCTGATTACTTGCAGAAATTGATTCGACAGATTTAATTACCGATCTGAGACGGGCGGTAACCTGTCCTTATACTTTACTTACAAAATAAATATCGGGTACATGATGTTATCCGGAGTGATCTCGACATTTCTCGTCTGCCACTGACGCAAGAGGGGATGGAATATCCCACTGTGGAGTCTGTGTTTTGCTATGACTTCATCAGACATTTTCATTCACTTTTTTACTATTTTTTGAATATTCTGTCGGAATTTTCTCTTTGCTCACTGTATTTTTATTTCTCGTCACATGGACTAAAGGCGAATACTCACAGCACACAGTATCCGTTGCTGAGGATTTTCATTGACGAGCGCGCGACGCGGATGAAAAAATTTAATAGAAAAACCTAGCGAATTCGTTAGAAAATTCTAGTGGATTTGTATTGAACTTTCTATTAGTTTTTGGCCGATTCGATTGCAATGTTCAATAGAAAATATTTAATAGAAAAAGTCAATAGAATTTGATTTTTCTATTAACTTATTCTATTGAGATATTTTCTATAGAATTTCCTGGGCTCGAATTTTCCAAGTTTGTTTGTTTGATTTTCTTGAGAAAAAAGAATGAAAAAATGTGGCGCAAGCCACAAACGAATTATTATTTCGAAATATTTATCAATTGAGCTCAGTTTAGGCTCGTCATAAAGGGAAATAATTGTTCTTTGTATTGAAAAAAAATTGTTCAATTTCATCAATATTTCAACCCCTCATTAGCATTTGAAAAAAAGTCAAAAGTGTCAATTGGCAGTGTTATTTTCAGTAATTCATTGAATTCAACATTGCCCCTTGAGAGAATGGTTCTGTAATTTAATTCGATTGATAATCTGTTAATTTATACACCTGATAAAAATTCAACAGAAAAATCTAGTGCGTTTTCTGAGAAAATCTATCAAATTTCTGCTGAAATTCATTCCTAATTCTTATAATTCAAATTAAATTTGGTAAAGTACAAATGCTTTTTTGAATCATCTTCTGCTCATGAATGAATAATGAACTTGCTCATAAAACGGTCGATCACGCCGTTAAGATGTAAAAAATTTATCTAGTTTTCCACATCTTACAAAAAAATTTAAATTTGTCTTTAGTCATAATGGAAGTGTTAATTTTCACACAACACGCTCGCTTCAATTTCCATGAGAATATGCCAATTTTTTATTAATTTTTCCCTGCATCTTTAAAATTCTAACGAAATCGAAGAATTATCGTGGCGACCATTAGGCGCTTTATAATTTCTTTATTGTATGTAAATATCTCAAAAACTTTCCTCAACATCTCCCATTCTCATAACTAATAAAATATCTATATTTGCAATATACAAAACAACAACATAAAAATTACACATATCCAACGTCCTTCATATCACAGAGGACCTGTCGCAACGTATCAGCGAATTTTTTTGTACAAGTTTCTTTGCACGTATTGAAAGACGAACATGCGAAGAATATTTCGTCGGCTCTTGGATTATAACAGCATCCATATCCATCCTCCACGACTGGTCCATAGCACATGAAGGATGCAGTCTTAAATGGCACCTGCAATCAATGAATTGTAAACAATCCACGCATAGAAAATTTGAATGAAAAAAATGTTAGCGAATGAGAGAATGAGAGGGCCTTCGATTGAAAGCCCGAGTTGAAGACCCGAGTTTGTAGCAAAGATGTCAGACAAGATATGAATGTTTTTTTGGGCTCAAACGAAAGAGCGGGTCGAGAAATGG